CTCCAGATTTGCACAGTTTAGGGGTTGGAAGGTCTGATACCATATAAAAACCAATGTGCAGAATATACAGTCGCCTTTACATATTTAGCTTAATAACAACAACAACAACAAGTTTATTCAATATTACCATTTTCAACAGGTGTTACCGATTAAAATAACAATAAAGAGCTAAATTTAAGGAAATGAAGATATAATGGAATGGTAGAATTAATTATGTTTCTTTTGTCTTTCAAATGCTTGAGAGACCAAATTAGCAGTTACCCTACTAATATGTGAATCAGTGTGGTTAAAAAGAAAACAGACTTTATATTGTAAATTGTAAAATAATGTATTTTGGTCGTTGATTTTAATATTAAAAAAGAGTCTTTCTCAAATCATTATATAGATCACAGTGAAATAATATGTGCATTTCATTTTCAACCAAATTTAGGTTGCAGTGATCACAGATTCAAAGGTCTTTGGGAGTTTTGGGAATTGCAAATCTTCCAGTTTCTATTTTTATATGGCCATCCCCATAAAACGTTTCATTTCCCATCGCCCTCCCTCTCGTGAAGGTGGGTCGGTCGGTCGGTCGGTCAAAAAAAAAAAGAATGAACACATGATTGCATATTAAATCTCACGTTTACTCTGCAAGATATAATCAGATAGTAAAAGATGTATATTAACAGGACTATCAAATGTCTAAAAAGGCTACAAAAACGAAGTATCAATGATAATTTAAGACAACTGGTGTTAATAAGACAAGGTCGTGTGCTTGTAAATAAGTACTTGCTTCTTTACAAGTGATTCTGGAATTTTTTTTTTTTTACCTTTCCACAAAAATGGGTCGGTTGGGCGATGAGAAATGAACCATTTTATGGGGATGGCCTATTATGATTTCCTATCTTAAATTTGGAAGCTACACGCCCATGTTCTGGATTCCGGATGTTATTGATGAGTTCAGAGTAATTTGTTTCATTTTTAAAGATGGAGTAGAATTTTAGTTTTTTATTTGTTCTTATCAAATCTAGCTGGTGGTTTTTTAGATGTTTTGACAAATTGTTTTAAGCTTTGGATAGGAAAGTAGAAGGGTTTTTAAAGTTAACTGATTGTTTATTATAAAAATATTACGTTGTGTACACAAAAGATTTATTTTATTCATTAGACCTGATTTATTTTCTTCGGCCATTTTATCCGATATGTTTCAGCAGAGTTTAGCGATGCTGTCAGGGGGTTGATTTTCAAGGTGAATCCAAAACTTGAAAATGTTCATTGTTATTATAAATTGAGAGATAATCTGCCAAGTTCATTTCTCGATGCAACATTCGGTGAACGCTTGTTTAAACCTAAACACATCTTACAAAAATGTATATGCGTTTTCTCAATGGAGTCTTTATCCCAGCGGCTAGTGAGATAGAATCTTTAGCATTGTTGGGCATTTGACACCTTTGCCGTCCCGGGGAGGAGAGAATTTGATTATCAGAGTTTTCCAGGGGGTGGGGAATTTGATCCCCATGCTTTAGGGGTGGGGAATTTGAACCGCATCCTCGATTTCATGTAAAATCTTTGGCGTGGCGAGCAATGGGGGACCCAGTGTTAGAGGATTTTCGTGGAAAAGATTGTGCCTTTGTGGCCAATTGGTTAAGAGGAAAGGGTTTAAACAAGCTTTGTGGCGTATTTGAAGTATTTAAATTTTAAAATTTTTAATATTGGATTCAGGCTTTGAATGTATGAACGTATTTCTATACCTCTACCGGCGATTCAATACAACAACATAAAATAAAATAAAATAAAAAGCTCAGGGCAACTACTTTGACCTACTGCAAGTAAGTTAATTAATAAGGTGAGCGATGATGCATGTCAGTGAAATGGTCTCAATAGGTGGGATCTTTTTTATAGAACGCTTTGTATGTTGCATGACGAAGAAAAGCTGAGCATTCAGTGACCTTGTAGCAGTGATTTCCGCCGCTTTGCACGAGAATTTTGTTCGTAGTAAATACGCTAACAGTGTTTCTCAGTTTTTGTTATATTTATAAAGATTTTGTTCGACAACTGAAGCCGTTTCCGCCGTCCTTCTGTCATTATTGTGCCTGTGAAATGTCCCAGGGGTGGGGGCATTTGATCACCTGAATGGACACCAGTGTGGGGCATTTGAACGGCATTTTGGCCCGGGTAGGGAGGAATTTGAACAATAATTTTCAAAAAAAAGTCAAATGCCCGGGGGGTTGGGGGGGGGCATGTTGAAGCTTCGATTTGACCGATACATAAGTACTATAAGTACTATAAGTACGATATGTAGTATAAGTAGTATAAGTAGTATAAGTATTATACGTATTATAATATTTATCAAACTTACCAATAGCTTTCATCCATTCTACATCATGAACTTGATTTTAAGCAATCAAAACGCATAACCATGCGGTATTAAAGCCGAAGAAGCAGATTTCTCTGTTTGGATCGCAAGCGGAAAAAGCGAGAAGCGTGACCGAAGAGTGCGCGAGGGGTGATGGGAAGGAGGAAACGGATGCTCACCATTTTGACACCACGGGCGCTTTCCATTTACGAAAAAAACCCGGAAATTTCGGTGGTAGCAAAAGTGGAATTTCCGATTGGTAAAAAGTTGTTCCATTTGGTCGTAAACCCCGGTACGTGGCGCGGTGCCCGACCGTGGACCTGGAACTGGTACAAACTATGAGAAACGTAAATGGAACACGACATTCCGTTCGGAAATTCCAACCGGGAAAACGGGACCACCTTTTTAGATTTTCCACTTTTTCTGGGAATTTTCCAGTGGGACGAACTGACGAAACGTGTTCCATTTACCGCCGAACCGGAAATTCCGGAAATTTTGACTAAATGGAAAGCGCCCCACGTCAAAGTCAAAATTTCCGGAATTTCCGGTTCGGCGGTAAATGGAACACGTTTCGTCGGTTCGTCCCACTGGAAAATTCCCAGAAAAAGTGGAAAATCTAAAAAGGTGGTCCCGTTTTCCCGGTTGGAATTTCCGCACGGAATGTCGTGTTCCATTTACGTTTCTCGTAGTTTGTACCAGTTCCAGGTCCACGGTCGGGCACCGCCACGTACTGGGGTTTACGACCAAATGGAACAACTTTTTACCAATCGGAAATTCCACTTTTGCTACCACCGAAATTTCCGGGTTTTTTTCCTAAATGGAAAGCGCCCGGGCACATAACCGGAGATCAGGCGTTATTTTATTTTTTTTTTTTTGCTTCTTTGCTTCTTTGGCTCGAGAGGGAAAAAAATGACGCCTGATACATTTATTTAACAACCCGTCAACCGCCCCCTAATTTACATAATCTAACGTCTTCTTGACCTGTCATGTTATTTAACAGTTAATGAATGAGGCTGAACACAGACAGATTTACCCAAACCCGTGCCCCCCCTTGCGCCGATTGGAACAAATCTTCGGTGCATAAACATAAATCTACAAAATTAGATGTGGTAGGAGAACGACCCGCTACAAAGTATATCCAAATCAGCTGAACAGACTAAACGAGTAGAAAACTTGCATAACTTCAAATCACAGTTCATTTTCTGAAGCTTCCCAAACCGTCTCCAAAAATCGCTCGAAACGGAATGTCGCGAACCGTTTGATTTTCCAACCAGAATTTCCCGTTTTCCTCGCGCATTAATTAACAATTAATGAATGAGGCTGAGTATCTTATGAAGAATTATGGAGATCGAGGAGGGTGTTATCCGTCGAGGCGCGCAAAAAGTTCCTTTACCATTGTGCGATTGATTGAAGGCTGAAACGGAATCTGATTGGCTATCGTTAGTGCGTGTATCCATTCTTCATTGTTACGTCTTGCAAAAAATGACTGTTGTCTTGAAGCAGATTTGAAAATTGTCAAATCGACGCTGTTACAAGAGTCAGCGTCGATTTTAAAATTTCAAAATAATGAATCTTACGCGGATTTGAACTAGTTTAACGGTTTCATACATGAAATACAACAAGAGTAGACCTTGCATAAAATAAAAGAAGAAAGAAGAAAAACAGCCAATCACAGAAGGTGAGTGTGTTCCTATAGCATAATATTCGCTCCGGATACACATTGTTCCGTCAAGGGGAACTAAGTTATGGGAGGAAACCGCGACTGCCAGAACAATAGGTATGCCAAATAATGAGGGTAAGCGACCACCACCAGGGGAGGTGGGAAGAAACTTTCAAATCACTTACACTTAACTCTGCTGAACTGGCCAAGACCGGGTAAACAAGGAACAAAATTAAGTAAGGGCGGCAATGCATTATGCAAATAGCGCGCAGGCTCAACACGACGAAATTTAAAGGATCCGGGGTTTCTTATTTCCCGCGTAACGGGCCAATTGTGTATGCAATGAGAAGAGGAAGTCTCTCCTTTAAAAAGGGCTGTGGCAAGAGAGAATGATCCACCCGAGAATGATCCATTCTCTCTTGGCTGTGGTCAGATTATTTTTTACATTTTTTATCAATTTTTTTCCTCTGTGATTGTTCTTAATCATTTTTTCCGTAAAAACATTATCAAAACAATCGTGATAATATTGCAATCTTTTTGTTCCTTTAACGTTTGATTGCCAGTTCATATGGCAGGCCCTTCATTAATACGTGTTTTAAACAATATTTGTAGCAATTTCCTTAGCGAAAAATCGTTTTGAATAGCTTAAAAAACGCTTTAAGAAGGAACAAGAATTCAGACAATTTCAGAGATATCTGTATTATCAACAAGGAACCTTACATTCAAATTCCACATAACCGTTAATTTTTGCAAATTCTCAATAATTTCTCCCACAGCTGTAAACGGCTTTGTGCTTAGAAATTGAAAATGGCTGCTTTGAGTTAACTGGTCACAGGCCTGCACCCTTTTTCCTGCTGCACTCAGTCCTTAATGTTTTTAATTTATGGTTATCTATATTCGCCATTTGCACATCTCCCATAATACACCATGACTGCCCCCTTAAACTTTGCATAACCTTTGTTTGTCGCTAATTAATAGAGCGATAAGTATCAGTTCCTGATGAAGTTCGTTTACATTATTTTATCTTAATCTTCCTTTAGCTTTTATAGAAAACGACTGGAACAGTATTAGCACATTTCCTGTTTTACCCTCAACGTTGTGACGGAATTTAGGACCCTTGGGATAACTCTCGCACGCTTTACTGCAGTAGAGATTTATCGCCACTTATTTTTATTCTTGCCCAAGCAGGTTCCTTTTTTCTCAGAGTCTATGATGGTTTCAGCCAATATAAGAGCATCAAATTTCTGTCCTGTGCACTATAGCCTTGCAAGGCTCTCAGACGGTAGGGACCTTCGAGGAAAGAAGCCAAGCGAAAATAGGACGCGCGTGATCTGGGGAGGGGGCGGTGGCACGAAACTGTGCGTTTTTCTCTGCACATCACTCTCTACACTGGAGCCTGAAACAGGCAAAGCCCTGACTTGTCCCTAGTCGTCTCTGTTTGGATCGTACGCGGAGGACGGAACGCGAGAAGAGTGACCAAGGGAAGCGTGAGGGACGATGAGAAGGAGGAAAACGAAAGGGAGAGAGAGTCTCCCCTCTTCACTCCATCCCATCACCCCTCGTTCTCCCCCTGACTGCGCCTCCCTCGTTAATACTGATAGAGGAATAAGAGACCACTGGGGACGAGTCAGGGCTAAGGGCACGAGGAAAGGACGTCCGACATGAAAAACACCTTCAAATTCAGAACACTTGCTGCGCGCCGGATTCAACCGCACTTTTGAGTTTTCTTGTGAGCGTGCGCACATCTTGGCGACCGCTTTAAGTTTTATTACGCTTATATTTAGCTAAAGAACGGGAACGTCAGTTGACGACAGGAAAGCACGCGAAAAGGCCTGAACGCGATTTCCAGTGCCCAATTTGCCGCTCTGTCATTGGTTAAGCCAGTTGTTTGATTTACGTGCGCCGTCTTCAACTGACGTTCCTGTTCTATTGCTAAGTCAAGGCAAACTACAATCTCCTTCCTAGGAATCTCTCCTCCTTGACTCTCGCTCAAGAGAACGAGTACGAGAGAACCTTGGGAACGACGTTGTTGCCAGTATTGACATTGGATGTTACTGCTAAGTGTCTTTACCTTCATAGAGAAGATTTTCCTAAACAATATGGTCAAAATCACGGCCCCAGAATGCAAAAAGTCCACTTCCGGTTAACGTGCGTCGCTCGTTGCTTAAGCTCACTATTGCCTGTGGAAGGCTAATTTTGTAAGCCGAAATATGGGCCTATAATAAATCAGCCCTTTGCCGTATTGCTTTCAGTTTTGTTTAATTTGTAAGTAGTCATCAGTATGAAGGTCGATGCTGGGTGACCAAGCACCATTTTCATTTAAAAGTCTAGCCTTAAAGGACTCGTGTTTCGCACGTGATGTCGAGGCTGTCAAGCTGCTGTCTGGAAAGGCATCTGTGCTGGTCACACCACGTGCTTGAATTTGACAGGCTAAAAATAACCTTTTATTTAGTAATGAGTTTTAAAAAGGCTGTTCAATTACACTAAGAGCAATTGACCACTCCAGAAAATACCATAACATACCATGATACTATTTGTTTGTCACCCCAAATTTTTGCATAAGCTTTGTCTTCAGTTTCTCTTGGGGCCATTTTAACTCCTAACGTTGTATTCTGCTTAGATTATGCTTTTCCTTTGATTCAGCCTGTGTACAGCACCTCCCTCCCCTCGTGTTGATTGAGGGGAGGGTGCGACTGGACACAGGCTATAGAATCACGTTCACAACGGATTGTCGCACTTAAAGGGTAACAAAAGAGCCTGCCAGTTTGTTCCATCTTCTCATCATTTAAATGATGAGACTTAAGTAAAATAAAACTGTTATTTCTAAACAAAAAACACGGATTTATTGACCAATTAACAACATACAAGTACACTGTATTAACAAGTAGAAACAATCCTCAAAGGAGGTTCATTCTAACTTAAAGGAAAAAGCTTTGTCTGCATGGGCCAGGCCATTTCTGTTGAAAAAGAAAATACAGTAAAAACAACTTTGAGTTAGCTCTTACAATAAATCAATTTATATTAATAAGTTACTACGATGCAATAAGGTAACAGGGACAACATTTTTTTCTATCAAACAAGGGTAACATTGTTTAGAGCAGGGGCGTAGCTAGGGGGGGCTCCTGGGGTGCCCGTGACCCTCCCTTGGTAGGCCTTCTTTTGAGCAAACAACCTACAATATTCAGGTGGCGAAAACGCCATGACAATATCTTGGCCGTAAAAGCCATTGTTGAAAATCCCACTTTTTAAAATTTGGTTTTTTGTAAAGTATATTCGTCAACGGCTCTTGTCTTTAGTTAATATGGGCCTTCATGCCGCGATAATACGACTGATCCCGCTGATACATGAGGGAGAGCAGCGGTGAGTAGCTTCTGACCCCCCCCCCCCTTCAAAAATCCTGGCTACGCCCCTGTAGAGGGAAGGGACACCAAAACTGTAGCCCCACCCCACACACTTTAAAAAAAACTGTTCCGCGGTCCCCGCTTTTCGTTAGACGACAATTAGCCGGTGAGACAGGCGTCAAAAGTGGTGGGAAAAAAGAAGCGGAATTTCCCTTTTCGTGTTTTCCCCCCTCCCCTCCCCTTGCATCATGTTCATGACTTCTACACTTCCTAGTTTAATGAAGTCACACATCACCAGCGTGTGCAGTTGCCTACAACAATTTCAAGAAAGCACAGAGTGTAGCCTGCGTGGCAGGCACAAAAAAGGGGGGAGGGGAGGGGGAGAAAAACGTGAAAAGAAAAAACGGAGAAGCACGCAGGCTACACAGAGGGATGAAAAAATCCACTTCAGAAAGCACAATACCTGAAAAGACAACCTATTCCATCGACTATATGGGCAAAGTGACCAGCTGTTTTGTTTCTTCAAAGTTCTTAATGACCTTCAGGTTTGTAGCTCAACCCCAAAATTTCCATTTGACCACTACGTACGTGTATATAGATTTCATCTCTAGGTTTTTGCCAACGTACCCTGGGTGCCAGAGACTTTTCATGCTTGGTTTCTGATTTCGGTCAAGTCTTTCTAAGGACCCGCGCGAAAAGCTTCGTCGGACCGGATTCGGCCGACGATTTGTCCGACACCAAAGCATCACGCCTTAATACCAACGTAGCTTAAGGACATTAAGTTAAATTACTAGAAGATAAAAAATCCTCATACCACTGTCCAGGACAATGTCTATTGGTGTTGTATATCTTTTAAGGTATCCTGACGGTGTGTTAAGGTCTTGAGAATTCAAAACGTATTCGATCAAATCCGTGCGGAGTTAAAGTACAGAAAAAGTGTTCGTTGTACGTACAACATCGTGGACTCAAACGGAAAACCACTCTATAAAGTAATTTGAGTCGTATTAAAGCAATCGAAGCCAGAAGAGCATGGTCGACGGCCATATAAACAAAGCACTTGTGGAGTTCTTCAAGGTTCCATTTTAGGCCCGATAATTTTTCTTAAATATATTAACGATCTCCCAAACTGTCTAGAGAAGGCTGCCTGTAAAAAGTGGATAGCTTTTACAACTGCTGGTTTAGTGTAGTTGATGTGTTATCAGTGCTTCAAAGAGCAAATTATAATGCAAAGGTTTTCCAACCACCATTGCAAGAAGCTTTGCTGCTTGTACCAACCCCAAAAACGAGGCAGATCCAAAAATCCCAGAGAGGTTACCGTCAATTGCGGCAAGAGCACAACCTCGCTCCATAGACGGATCAACCGTTTCCATTGGTTAAAAAATGCGAATAAAAATAAAGAGAAATCTAATAAAGACCAAAATGCGAGGCGGGTTGGGATGCAGGTGAGGGGAGGGGACTGGGGGAGAATCGGCCACTTTATGATAAAAATTCTAAGATTGTAATATTTGCAAGGCTGCCGACCTTTCTGGTGTATAGTCAGGAAATCGTGCTTAATCAATCAAACAATGAGAAAGAATCAATTGCTTGACTTGGAAATAGCAATGCATTGTTAACTCTGGTCTCTACGGAAACAAATTGGATGAACTGTGAGCTATTCCATCCTTATAATGCTTCAATTTATCCCCATTCTAACCGTTTCAATTAACTAAAATTACAATACCTTGTCTTACTAAAAGATCAGGTACTTTTTCTGGTAATTGATCCATGGTGTTTGTCAAACTGATCTGTAAGAAAAAACAAGTCGATAAACTTGTTGAATTTACTGAATTTGTTGAATATAAATTGTCAAATTGGATGCAGGGTATAGCCTTATATTTGACCTTTGCTTCAGTATCATATCAGGTTTTATCTAATAAAAATAAGAAAATTATTCAATTCCGTGTAATTGGTTATGAACTGTCTGTCTTATTGTCAGGTCAACACTAACCTTTGGAAGCTTTGCCAAATATTCTGCTAACTTAAGAACAAGTGAAAGGGCTTCTACAACCTGGAACAAATTGGAAACGATTACAGAGATTCTAAACAATAAGTCTTTCTCATGAAACATTACTTGAAGTTACAGGTAGTAGATTGTAGATAACTGACATAACCAGCATGGGAAATGTAAAGTATAGTTTAGTACATGCAGATGAAAAAGCTGGAGTAAGTTTGGGTAGCTTTCTGGTGAATAACGTGAAAAACCATAGCAGCCATACTTGTCAGATCACTTGTGATCAAGACATCAAACACAAAACTGTTTGGAAATAAGAACACATCAGGGGTACCCGACGTTAGTTTTCGGAAAATATCTGTTCGGAAGATGATTTGAGATCTAGAATTTTCAGAGCATCTGTTGTAAAATTTCTTACTTGCCTGCCCCTCCTAGGATTTTCGATCAGCCAAAAAATGGTATAATTGCCCATTTTTAACAGATTTTTACCCTAAAAAGGTCACCTAGAATTTTCGGGAGCCTTTTTTCCGCTGAAATTTTCGAAAAGGTAAGTTGTGATCCCTGTAATTTTCGGAACACTAGACTTTCAGCTAGGAAATCCGAACAGATGAGAAAATTTTAGGACATAAAAATATGCCTATATCTATCTTTTAAATACTAAAATACAGTTAACAATGCTATGTTTAAGAGGTTTTGAACTATATTCTTGTTGGGTGTCCCTGACACATGCAATATACAAGTATAAAGCTGGTTCTGACTTACATTTCAAGGAAATTAAAGATGATTGAGTTGGATGTTATGACTGAGGATTAGGGTGTAAACCGTTCTGAAGTCAAATTGTATGGAAAAGATCTAAAACTAAAACGATTGTTAGGAAATTGTCTAGAACATTTATTTAGTAGTATATGAGGGGTGGACTTAACCTGCTTGCAGAGGAGGACTCTCTTAATTTTTAGATAAATTTTTTTGCATGTCCATGAATCAAGCATAAAACAGACTACTTCATTCACTGCCTGCAACTCATGGACGGCTTATGGACAGTTAAAACTTTGAGAAACGCCCTAGTACATCTACACAAAAGGGAAAGAGCCAAGTGTCTGCATAACTGAGGTGTCTGAATATTAGAGAGATAGCATTGCATGAAGTTTAGTATTATTGCGAGCAAGAGAACTGTCTATAATAGGGAGGTGTTTATATTTGGACAGTGTCTGTGAAAGAAAGGTGCCTGAACAAGCAGTTTCACTGTATTTTTTACAATATAGTATGCGTACTCAATAGAGTGTAACTATAAAGCAACTGTCTGTGTCGTGTGAGTACCAAATACCACTGTACTTATAAAAAGACTTACCACAACATCTATAGGTTCGTTTGTTGTAAACTCTTGTATTCTTGGAGCAGCAAGATTAAGAGTTCTAAAACTCCACTGGCCAAATAAACGGTTATTGAGCTTTGCTATAGTTAAGGCATTTTGGGGTATATTGTTTTACAAAAATTATGATGTTTGTCTTCATGTCATTGGTAAGTGAAATTCAGTTGTTACAATATCCCACCTAAATATGTAATGAATCTGACCACTTATAAATTAGGATACTCAGACTTTAAATCGAGACCCATTTATAAGTAAAGTCTGCAGTGTCACTTTTAAACCCAAATGCTATGTTGAAATTTTGCTTCTGCGCATGGTGGAACTTCAGAATAGCTAATAATTTGTATTGATGTGGAACAGAAGTCCCTGAAGTGTTTGACTTATAAATGCCAGTTTTTGCTCATTGTAGCCAGACAGTGACCAGAAAACAGCTAGAATGGCATCAAAAGGCAATTTTTGGTAAAATATCCAAGAGTAAATGGGTGACAGTATTAAACTCTATGGTCTTCTTGGTACAGTGGAACCCCGCCTTACGACCACCCCGTTTATAAGACCACCTCGTTATTACGGCCATATTCTTTCAAACCAAACGTAAAAACCATTGAGTCATTTGATTATTTTGAGGACCCCGTCAATGCGACCACCTTGTTATTACGACCAGTATTTTATGGCCCAACGGTGGTGGCATTAACGGGGTTCCACTGTAGTTACCCTGCGAGCAGAGTCTCCTTCGATCTTCCTAGATAAGTTGGGAAGGGAAAGGAAGAAGGAGACTCTGCCCGCAGGGTACTTGGTAGTACAAACAGCATTAAAAAGGATACATCACCAGAGCACACAAGAATTTTTGTGTTTAGTAGCATACCACTGCCAAAAAATATTTATGATCATTAGGCCTTTTTATAGGAATTTTTGCATTTTATTGTAAACAAATACCTCTTAAAAAAGAATAACCTTTTAAGGTGGAGCATACTTAGAAATTTTTTTTCTCAGTGAAACAAAACTGAATATATTTAAGATGTTCATTAACCTCAAAATTATATAAACAAATAATTTGTTTATTATTACAGCAAGTTTAATTAGGGGCAAAAAACCAAATGTACTTAAGGTGCTGATGAGGTTGTCACCCCATGATAAAGTGGGAACAAAAAGGATGGGAGCCAACATTACAGGGGGGTGTAAGACAACCACGCCCTAGAGGTATGATTCCAGTCTTTGTGTTACTAGGTTGCAACAATTACAGTTGTTTTTACCTTATACTTTGTTCATCTCCTACCAAGTCCTTTACAACTTTGAGAAGCATGTTATAAGATGTCTACAGAATAATAAATAACAATCAGATAATATGCTTTGGTGTCATAAACTCGTAACAACGTGAAAACTTTGCCGAAATTGATCATAAATTGTTATACAGATACAAAATTGGCATTAGTACACCTTGCTCCCCCTGACTTGATTATTTCTGGCAATTATTTAGAAAACACAACAAAACTAAGATGAATATATTCACTAGTATAGTCAACAATATTGATTTTAGTATATTAAGGTTACATTGTAATATCCAATGCAAGGGCACTAAAAAAGTATAAAGTTGCCCTTCACACATAAAAGAACAATAATACACAATGGCCAGAAATATATTTCTCAACGTTTCCACACATTTCTTATAAATTCAAATCAAGGATCAATCACACGACAGCTCATATGGCTCTCCTGTGAATATTCACAGTTCAATTTGAACTGTTAGTTTCACACTTTAAAGCAAAGTTTTCAAATTACTTATTATTTTGAAGGTTTGAAAGTGAATAGTGAATACAGGTAATAATTTAAATGTCAGGAACGCATGAGCAAAATTTATTAAGTCAGATAGTCATTTGAATAGATCAATTTGGTAAGAAATTTGAAGGGTACAATATGGATTGCATATCTGCACTAACAGGTACTGTACTATAATAACAACCTCATAATAATAATAATTATTATTATTATTAATATTGTTATTATTATTATTATTATTATTATTATTATTGTTATTATTACTATTATTATTATTATTGTTATTATTATTATTATTATTATTATATCAGCAGAACTTGGCTACTGGCTTAAATGTTGTGACACAGTGGAAGAAAGTTGATAAATGCTAATCCAGGAGAAAACTTTTAATGACCATGGTTTTTGCATTTAAGTCTTCTGATTATCGGTACTTCGCCAACAAGTGCATTATCTCTTTTCAGTCACATCAATCAAATTATTTTTGTTATTAAAACCAAAAAGATTTCAGTGTGTTTCAGCTGTCTTTGTATTGTGATTCCCTGCAGACATAAAACTAGCGATCACAAGCATTTATATAACGTAAAATGAATGATTCATACAAAGTTCAACAGAAATGCTGAATGCATCCCTTAAAAATAATGATTTTATTTGCTTGGTCTTGAAGTACCGATATTATTTATTCAAAAGTCAATAATAAAATATTTGTTCAACCCTGTTGATTTCTTTTATACACTTTTGAAATGCCAGTCACTAAATCCCCGACAGCTGTAGCTGTTCAGCACTACACTCAATTGGATGATCCTGAGTCCAATTTTTATTTTCACCATAATAATGTTGACCAAGCTGAACAACTGTACTTGATTTAATTTTATTTTGGAATTTTGCTCGTTTATGTCGCATTTTATTTTGCACATTTTTGTTTTTTTATAGTTTTTATTGCCGCTGCTGTTGTTGTTGTTTTACTAGAAAAGGTAAGATAATTTGATAAACTTCTACTCCCAAAAGTGGTACACTTGATGGTGAAATAACTGTGAAATGAAGGAATTAGGTACAATATAACTATGTTACGACAGCTTTCCCTGGATTAGCTTAATCAAACTTTGAAATCACCTGGCCAACAATCCTGTTTCTCTGGTTCACTCAAGAGCTGGATTACAAAGCAAAACATAGAGCACATACAGTACTGAAGATAACAGAGGCTCTTTGCTCGTGAAAGTCCTTGTCAAGTCTTTCTGTGGCATCTGATCTGAAAACAAAAGTTTAAAATATTCAGTGAAGTTCATCAGTTATTTTCAGAACAGACCAATTTCACATTACATTCAAACCTTAGTTAGATTACAAACGCCCGCTTAGTTCGGATAGCTTATTATTATGGACAGTTTTGCTACCAACAGGTGTGCGTGTAGTTTAAAATCCTTTAGTTTATTTATTAAGGTTTTTCTCTCTGTACATTAATTTTCTTTGTTTTGTATTTATCATTCGGTTTGATTATGTATAGCTTTCTTCTGGTTTAATTGTAGTTATCAGAAACCTCTGAATGAGAAAACAGTAAATTGAATTTCATTGGAATGGAGTAAAGAAGTTTATTTGTTCAGAGTGTGATTAATACAGACTCTAAACAATGGATACACTTGTAAAAGTTTTAATTGACCCCTGCTTTGTGGACCCCAGTCAGTTCCTAAGTCAGTTGCTTGGTAAGTTACTCAGTTTAGTCAGTCATTCAGTCAGTTGCTCGATCAGTCATTCTGTCAGCCGGTCAGATATGCAGTTGCGCAGTCAGTCAGTCAGTCAGTCCTAGTCAGTATCTTGGTACTGTAAGTTGCTCATTCAATCAGTCATTCAGTCAGTTATATAATCAGTCATTCCATCAGGCGGTCAGTCAGTTATAAGCAGACAAAGGAGGATTTTATTACCATCTTCCTGTCATGCATTGTCTTCAACCTATATTATCAACAGCCGAATCCCAGCGTGTGACTCATTTAAAAGAGCTGAAGCACAGGAAACACAAGGGCACAAGAGAGATACACAAAATAGTCCAATATCCTCCACAAAAACTGTATCAATCACACAATAGACTTTCACAAGATAGCTACAGATGCCCCTCTAAGGTCTAAGATTTTGTTTACCAATTAGATTCCCCATTAAGATTGTTTGACTGCTTGTAAATAAAAGCTGATACCCTTGTTACGGGGGTCCGCGATGAAATAAACATTCAATAATACTTCTCAAACGCTGTCTATGCAATTTGTAGTAAAATATGCATTGAAAATCAAAGGTATCAAAGAGTCTGGCTGTGAGAAACTCAAGATATCTCTTTCTGAGCTGGTGTATAAACTGACATGTATGCACCTTTCACAGCTTCAAACACTGTTGACTTCCAACTCTACTGCCGTGAAACAGTAACTACAGATACAGTAATCTCCGGTCTGAATATATGAAAGAGTAAATTAATGCTTTTTCACTGGAAACTTGCTGAAAATATTACCAAATACACTTCGCGCACAACGGGAGGTTGTCTCTCATCATAAAAAAAATACTCCACATTTATGAGTCAAAACGAGTCAGTTGGGTTCTTTATAATGTATAAAGTATAATCAAGTGGATTTCTGTCTCAATTCTAAATCGACTCCTAATGAAAAATGCGACATTACGCTAAGACCTACTTTACTGCTGTATCCTATCCGCAAAACTTTAGATAAAATTCATGTTTCCATCTCACAGACCAGAAAAATCACCCCATAATAGGCACAAGGCATGCTGGGAAGATGGTAATATTCTCCTTTCAAGTAGACAGTCAGCCAGTAACTTAGTTGCTCAGTCAGTCAGGCAAAATGGTTAGCAAAGCAAATTAATCAGTTGATCAGTCAGTCAATCAGTCAGTTGGTCAGTAAGTAAGTCAGACAGTCACTTAGCTAGTTCCTCAGTTAGTAAGTCAGTTGCTCACTCACTCAGTTAGTTAGTCACTTAGTAATGTTGATTTGTCAGTCTGTCAGTCACATTGCTAGTCAGTTAGTCAGTACATTGCTTGGTTCAGTCAGTCACCCAGTCAGTTACTCAGTTGCTCTGTCTGTTAGTCAGGCAGTAATTCAGTTCCTCAGTTAGTCGGTGACTTGGTCAGTTTCTTGGTCAGTCAGTCACTTATGCAGTTGAGCATCAATATCATTATTAATTACCCTTAAAGGCAAAATTTCTTTTTTTAATTTGTTGCTGCAATTTGTAAACCAGTCTGACTCTTCTTTTTCATTAATGAGGGTTATAAGGGATAACAAGGAATTACAGGGGGTTAAAGGGGTTTATAATGGTTCAAGGGGTCACAAGAGAATACAAGAGGTTACTATACATATACGGAGGGTTACAGCTGGTTGAAGGGGGCTATTACTAGTGGTTACAGGGTTACCAGGACTTACAGGTTGGTTTTACTTATTTTGGAATTATTCTCTTTTATTTTACATTTTATTTACAAAACGTTTATTTTTTCAATTTTTCTGTTTTATCGGAAACAGTTATTAAATATTGATAAAATTCTTATCTCCCAACTGTGGTACACTAGATGGTGAAATAACTGTCAAATGAAAGAATTTAAGGAAAATGGTATAACTTGATGAAACTTTTAACCAAACAGTTTTGTTTATCTGGTTCACTTAAGAGCTGGATGAAAACACAAAACATACAAGTACAGCACTTACAGTATTGAAGATAACAGAGGCTCTTGGCTCATGAAGGTCCTTGTCCAGTGTTGCTGTGGCATCTGATCTGGAAACAAAAGTTTAAAGTATTCAATAAAGCACATCAGTTGTTTTCAGAACAGACCAATTTCCCATTACATTCAAACCTTGTCTTACAGATGCCTGCTTAGTTCAGAAAGCTTATTATTACAGACAGTTTGCTTTGTCCCTAGGGAAAGAAAGCTGTTACACTTTCTCTTAATTCAACCTGCTTGATACAGACAACCTGTTAATACGGACACTTCCTTAGCGCCCATATTAAAAAGGTTTGACTGCATCACATTTCATGAGTACCAGTGAGCAACCATGTTGGAATAATTAAATTTTAGCACATGCTGTATGATTACCCACCCCTTGACCGTACTAACAAATGGCACTCCTCCTTTGATAACATTACCCTCCCCTCCTTACTCAATAACTCAGTCAGTTGATCAGACAGTCTGTCAGTCAGAGGACTAGCCAGTCAATTGCTTTTTCAGCTCAGTCAGCCAGTTGGTTTATTTCTTGAGGTTAGTCAGACACTTGATAAGGTGTTCAATCAGTCTGTCATTCTGTCAGTTATTCAATCTGTCATTCTGTCAGCCAGTCTGTCAGTCACTCAAACAATCAGCCAGTAAGTTAGTTACTCAGTCAGTGAGTAAGTTAGACAGTTAGCCAGTAACTAATTTGCTCAGTAAGTCGGCCAGTTAGACAGTTAGCCAGTTACTGAGTTGCTCAGTTATTAATTTTAGTCAGCTGATTAGTAAGTAAATTAGTCAGTTTCTCTGTCAGTCAGTTGTTCAGTTTTTATGTCAGACAGTCACTTAGCTATTTTCTCCGTTAGTAAAGCAGTTTCTCAGTTAGTCCTGAGTCAGTCAGTCAGGAGGTCAGTTACTCAGTTTGTCAGTTTGTAAGTCAGTCAGTTACTTGTTAGACGTAAGTCAGTTGCTCACTCAGTCAGTTAGTAACTGTTACTAAGTTAATTTGTCAGTCTGTCAGTCAGGTGGCCGGTCAGTTAGTCATTATGTTACTTGGTCAGTCAGTCTGCCAGTCAGTTAACTAGTCATTAGGTCAATAAATCAGTCAGTTACTCAACAAGTCAATCAATGAGTCAGTGAGTCAGCCATCAACATGTTAGCCAGTCAGTCAGTCAATCAGCCCATCCATCAGTAAACTAGTCAAATTGACAGCCACTCAACTGGCAAGAAGCCATCCACGCAGTCAGAAAAGCAAGTCAGCTAATCAGTCAGTCAGTTTTCCAGTTTGTCAGTCAACTTTAAGTCAGTCATTCAGTAAGTAAATTAGTAAGTCAGTCAATTACAGTGTCGTCAGTCAGTCAAAAACAAGTCAGCCATTTTGTTAGTCAATGAGTCAGTCAGTCGCCAAAAAAGTCAGTCAGTCCATCAGTCAGTTAATTAATCAGTTAATCCATCAGTTAATCAGTAACATAATCTGCAGTTAGTTGGTTAATAAGACAGTTCTAAAGACAGTCTGTCAATAAGTCAGGTAGTCAGTCATGTAAACACCAAGACAGTCATTCAATTAGTCAGCTAGTCACACATTTAGTCAGTTGGTCAATCAGCTAAAGACCACTCATCCAAGAAAAAGGTCAAACAGTCAATACATCAGTCCACTCAAATGGCAACATGTAGATTGCAGAACTATAATAAATGATTAAAAGAAGAACTTGGCATTATTATACAAACATTGCAGAACAGCTTGTTCAAAGCAGATCGCATATGAATTGGCATTAAATTGTCAGAAAAAACTCTAATTATTTTAAGATTTGATTTTAACTGTGTGCATGTGATTATTTGAAACAATTACACTAGAAAGAAAAAAACCTAAAGCGCTTAATACTATCATAATGCCAATAATACAAAATAATGTCAAAGTGAATTTGAAAATGAACAATTTCTTAAGTCTCATTTCCACACGTGCTACTTGTTGGAAAGAACTGTACACTCTGGCCTCAAACTGTCCTAGAGGTTTAATTTAGCTGTCCTTCATGAAAAATCAAAACAAACAGTCATTTGATTTCAATAAATACATTTAAAAATCTGTTTTCTATTCTTCCTTTGAGTTTGAAAATTGTTAATAATCTCTGTCTTCTCAACAGTAAACAAGAAACAGCTTGCCAAATATTAACAACAGCAAGAAGCCTAGTCACTCAAGTAGTGTTTTTCTTACACATGTCTATTATATTTAGACATGTATCTCTCATTAATACAGAGACATCAAATTTGAAACAGTTTTGAATTTGTGTTAAATTCAGCCAGGTATGGCCACTAAAACTTGATGAAACTGTATGTCTATCTTACTTCAAACAAGCTGCACAACGTCAGTTTATCTGGTTCACTCAATAGCAGGATTACAAAGCAGTCTATAAAGCACTTACAGAACTGAAGATAACCTCAAAATCCTGGCTGTTGACGTCTTGACACACATCTGCAGGACAAAACTGATCTGAAATGAAAAATCAGTCATTTTGATCACCAATCGCAGTAATCTTGATTAACATCATGAAGGCATTAAAATTAATGCCTTTTCTTAGCATGAATCTCAGTATATCAGCTAGCCAGTCAAGTCAATTAGTCAATGAGCTAACCAGAAAGTCAAGCACTGTCTATCAGCCACAGTCAGTCAGTCAGTCAGCCAGTCAATTTGTCAGTAAGTTGGTAAGCAGAGAAGTCAGTAAGTCAGTCAGCAAGTCAGACACCAGTCAATCAGTCAGTCAGCAGATTAGTTGGAGTTGTGTGAAAGTTAACCAAAACACAATGACTGAGAATTTCTTATGTAACAAAGGCATACGACAAGAGTATGGCTTAAGCCCACTGTTATTTTTTTGAGACTCATAATCTGCAAGCTGTTTTTTTATCTTCATATATAGTACACAAAACGATGGTTGTGGTCCCAGGCATTCTTAGCGGCGAGCGTGGAAACTGGGAATAAGTATCATGATGACTTTCATTGTATGCAAATGAGACTCGTGAAGAGCATGTGGTTTATTTTTGGCAATGATTGAGGTGATGGGTGTGGTTGATCACGTTCTAGTATGGCTTTTTGGCAATAATAATAATAATAATAATCAACTTTATTTAACGAGGGTAACACTGGACACTACTGAATAACTAGTGGCCCTCAAAATGATGGCAATGATATAATTTTCCCCGAATCACCCTTGATTTTCGTGCATTCATGCACGTGTAGTCAGATGTGAAAATATTATAGCAGAGGAAATCCTGTTTTGTGCTGTATTGAGGCATTACGTTTCTCACAATATTGACGCAAGTACTGGAACTCTACAGTTAAATAGATTTGACATGGCAGATTTACTTTGTTGTATGTATTTAATTGATAGGTTTCCGTAGTTTTTAAGATGCAAAGTCCTGTTACACTTTATAAATACTTGATATATCAATGATTTTTAACCTTCAACTACTAGACGCAACTTCAACTAGCCATCTGACATGACATATGCGTCATAGATGTGTTTATAAGTGTAGAATTGTACTTGACTGTCACGCCCTCAACTTGCAGCACTTCATCGGCCAATGGAAACTACTAGTCTACAAATTAAACTAGTCTATTTATTTTCGAAGTTCTCTAGTATGGGAAACGTGTATTTATTTTTCATACTGCCATCTTAATATTATTGATGTTTCCTTGATGTCATAGATTTGCAAGGTCTCAATCTTTGCCTTGTGGCATTGCCTTTGATTGTGGAAGATTGCTGGAAATTACGGCATTATTGCCTACACATCATTGGAAATTTTCACTTTGGATTTATAAACTGTAACGATTGAACTATGATCTTTTTCCAGTTTAAGTTTAGTCTGACTATTCTACCGGTATGTACCATAAGGCAGTCAGTAGTTACTGACTAAGTGACCTATGCTAAGCTGCACACCATCCTTTTAAACATTTTCGCGATTATCCCGATTCGCCATGTTACTTAAAAGAAGGGAATTTTGTTCCAAGCTGAAGAGAGGTGACCGCACCCAATTTGAGACAGTGATGTACAACAATAACACAAAGAAGCCTCTGAGAAGCGGGAGGCAGAACAGGGATATCTACGCTGCTCCTCCACAGACGTTTCTAACCTAAGTTAAACTACGTCTGCAACACAGGCTACAGTCCACCGAGTACTCAAGTATTAGTGAAGTATCAGCGGAATGTCAGTAGCCTATCAATCAACATTTCCGCCAACAATCGGACAACCAAAATCGGCCGACATATTGACCGAAACTCAATCAACCAATATAACCGATATGTCGGTCAATATTATCAAACAACACATGGGTCACTTTTCAGTCAATATTTTGTAATAGACTGATATGTCGACCGAGGGGTGCACAAATTAGGCAAGATCCAGAAGTTGTCAGTCACTCAATAAATCAGTACACTCTTGAAAATTTAGGAATCAAAGCAGAATTTGGCATTATATACTTATTACCTAACATTATGTGGAACAGCTTGTTCAAAGCAGATTATGTCCCTACTCCAAGTCCATACCGCTACTCCATATCAGTCAGTCGATAGGTCAGTCAGTCAGCAGCTCAGTCAGTAAGCCAGTTTGTCAGTCTATCAATGAGTCACTTAGTTAGTCAATCAGTCACTCACTCAACATGTCAGCCAGTCAGTTATATTCAGTTAGTCAATAAGGCAGGCATTTAGCAGGTCAGCCATTCTGTCAGTCAGTTGGAGACAATCAGTCAGTCAGTCAGGCAGTCAAAAAACTCAGCCATTTAGCCAGTCACTGAAATAGTCAGCCAGTCAGTCACTCAGCAAGTCAGTCAGTCAGCAAGCCAGTCAGCCACTCAGTCAGCAAGCCAGCTAGACAGTCAGGGAGTCCATCAATATTAAAGTCAGCCAGTTAGTTGGTCAGCCAACTGTAAGTCATCAATTTAGTCAGTCAGTGAATCAATTAGTAAGTCAGCCAGTCAGTCAGTCAGTCAGTCAGTCAAACAGTCACTTAGTTTGACAGTTAGGGAATCAGTCAATCAGACAGTTAGTCAGAAAATCAGCCAGACAGTTGACCAGTTAATCAGTTAGTGAGTTGGTCAATTAGTTAAATGAATTAAACTGACCACTCCGAAAACTTTCAGTCAGTCAATAAATCATGATCAATCCACTCAAAAAATATCACGTACATTTCCAAACTATACTAAACCAGAACCTAGTATTACATACTCGTTATTTAACAATGTGGCACAACTTGTTCAAAGCAGATTGTGTCTACTACTCCAGGACAAATTGCTATTTGTCAGAAAAACTTTAAAGACTTAATTTTAACAGCATATTATCATTTGAACCTAAATATTAAGCAAGTTAAAAAACAACTTAATGAACTTGATGCCATCAATCAAGAATTAAATCCATACTGAATTTGAATCTGAAAAATGTACTCTTTTACCTCAAACAGTCCTAGAGATTTTAGCTGTCTTGCATTAAAAGATCAAAAGACACATTCGCTTAAGTATAGATATATGAGCAAAAAATTGAGCAATAAACATAAATGTTTTATATTCTTCCTTTGAGTCTGAAAATTTTGTTGAATCTCTGTCTTAATTCTCAGTGGTAAACAAGAAACAGCTTGTCACATAGTGACAGAAATCAAGAAGAATTCAAGTCACTCAAAAATATTTTTTTCCTTCCATCTTTTATTTTACAGATACATTAAATTCAAAAAAGTTTTGAGTTTTGTGTTAAATTAGGCCAGGTATATTCCCCCCAAAAGTCACAAAGCCATGCCTCAATCTTACTTTGAACAAGCTGTACCTGCAGTTTAGTTTATCTGGTTCACTCAGGAGCTTGAATATATAGCAATACATACAGCACTTACAATGCCACAGATAATAAGTTCAAAATCCTGGCTGTTGAAGTCTTGACACATCTGCAGGACCCATTTGATCTGAAAAAAAATGATCATCTTCATCAGCAATCAGCAATCTTGTTTCTTCAGGGACAAACTCTAGGGTTGCATTAGATTGGGAAGTCCGGATTTAGATTTTGCAATCCGGATTTCGGATTTTGCAAATATATTGAACACGAAATCCCAAAACGGATCTCCCTTCTAGTTCTTATCATCAACTTCATCTCCCAAAATCTCAAACTTTCACCCCGAATCGCCCCCACCCCCGCTACCAACTCTCAAGTCAAAGGCCTGGCTACCAAGCATACAAATAAACAATTTGCTACATTGCACTTTTAAAAAGACCTTAAAAAACCAATTTGCGAATAAAACCTTCATACGCTGTTGGAAACGCACCGATTTGCCCTTAAAAATCAAAGTGTTGAAAACTCCCTCAAGGGGGAGGGTAAACTATTGAAAGAGTTGTGCATAAGCCTGATAAGCAATATTACGCACATGAGCTTCGAGGGTGAGAGTCAAGGTCTTACCAAATGCAGAGTAAACCATTACCACAAGCACTCCTAAAACTGTTTTAAAAGATAATTAATACAGTTCTTACTGTTTGATCTGCCTATCCCGTACGAAACTTGCAGCGCTGTACAGCGCCACAAAATCGCTGCAAAATAGCTGTACAGCTAAATTACAGCTGTTCAGCAGCCTTTTAGAAGCCAAACAGCAGCTTCATTCAAGTTGCAGCGGGATGCAAAAGCGCTGTGCAGCCTTTAAAGGCTCTTTGAAGCTCTCGGCAGCGGTTTTGCAGCGCAGTTGCCGACTTTCAAACGCTGCAAAGTAGCTGCAGTAACGCTACAATTCAGCCGCGGTCGATCTGACTTTCTTGAGCGCCAATAACATGAATCGCCAGATAAAGCCTTGGCACAGATTATGGCTTTTATAACGCGAAAACTTTGACTGTACCTCTAAGAAATGGAGTAAGCTTGTGCGCAAAGAAGATCACTTATTGAATAAACCTCCAAATCCTATGCTTTCGGAATAAAGATTTCAATAAATTTCATTTCGTGACCGGCGAGTGTGGGAATGTTATCGCTAATTCCCTGGAGACATTCTAGGCCGTAATCTAATTGGTCGGTCCTTTTGCATGAGATCCCATTACATCTCTAGACAAACACAGAACATTTGCGACCGTTGAATGAAAGGCGCAAACATTCTAAGTTTTTTTGCATCTAGTTCTGTTTCGAGATGGAAGTTCTGTTGAAGTTTTTGGATGGAACAGCTCAAACGTATTTGCAAACAACGCACTGAACAGTGACTTCTACGCTAAGTATCGACGAATCGAACCAGAGCAAGCAACACAGATACAAGAATCTCAGATGGGGTTTGCACTTACAAGATTCTTATACGCTCGTTGTAATGTTCGTTCCTTAGTCCATTGTAAAATTTAACGACGACCAAAGTAAAATTGGGTTGATTTCTTTCATGAAAAAAGTGTAGAAGATCGTGGATCATGGACGAAACGTCAAGGTGAGCAATGTCCAGCTTAGCCCGTTTGCAACGAATCAAAATATCATTTTGCCTAATGGCCGTGCATGTAAACTTTATGTAGAACAATCGATGTTATTCTCTTTATTTTTAAAAAAGATAATTTTCAATGTCTGCATGTTAATGGATGTTCTTACATTCAGATGAGTGACCGTGATTGCTAAATATTTACAAAGCGAGACTGTTGCAGATTTGTTCTATGTCACGTGCTTTTGTAACGTGTACGCGTGGATACTAATAAAGTATAAGTTGCATTTTGACTTTCTAGTGGTTTTTACTCTGCTACTGAGCCGGTTTAGGCAAATGCCATAATTCTTTGAATTTTTGTACCCGTTTGCAGCTATTTGGCAGCGCTGACAGCGTTTTTGTGTGTCCTTTCCACCGCTGCTAAACCGCTGCTTATCGCTTTCAAACGGCTTCATAGCGCTGCCCCGAACAGCCAAAATTTGCGACTGCTGCAGCCAGCCTCTTTGCTGGCTATTCTGCAGCGCTTCTTGAAGCCATTCTGCAGCGCTGCAACAGCGCTGCGCGTTTCGTACGGGTATAATCGCTACTAACCTTGCAAAGTAGATGAAAAACGGGAGAACAACAACCATGCCTTCCGCGCGCTATCTTTGAATCAGTGTTAGTTTCCAGTGCCCCAAAACTTCAAAAATGCGCGGCCTCCTTGCTCCTTACGGAAAAATAGGGCCCCGGTGGGTGCATGTGTTTGCTGCTAAAAAACAAAATAGATTTTCTATCTTTTTAGCGACTTCGTGGCAGGATTAGCTCAGTCGGTAGAGCGTTTGACTGCAGAGCGGGAGGTCGCGGGTTCGATTCCGGGGCCGGACCATTACTCAGGGTCTTAAAATGACTGAGAAATGAAGGTACTTCCTTTGCACTGCAAGCGGCGAGACCTTCGCGTGGCTCGGATGACCACGTAAAATGGCGGTCCTGTCCCCATTAAGAGACGTAAAAATAATGTTCCCAATTAGCACTTTCGTGCTAAAGTGCATTGTTTTCGTAGCTCAAATTTGAAAAAACAAAAAGTCAATTAAAAAACGGGGATAAACTTTTAGCGGGGTTGGTTTGACAGAAGAGACTGAAATACATGGACTTTAAGAGCAGAAAAGGCAAAAACTAGTGGGCACTTGCTCGCTCTGGTGTTTAATTTCTTTTTTGTCTTGTTTTGTTATTTTCTGGATTTAGTTAGAATAACGAATTAGCGGCGTCAATGAGGATAAAAAACCGTTAATTGAATTGTTGAATTGGCATCTCACGGTTGTAGATGCCGCTGTTTAACTAGTGATTGAATCCTACAAGTTCATATCTTAAGAGATTCTGTCATTTCAGTCTGTTTTTCTTTTGCTTTTTACCTTTTGCTGTACCGTCCTGAACTCGAATAATCGCCCCGGCGCTAATGAAATTTTTTCACACCTAAAATTCGGCGCTTATTGGTGGACTGCGATTATTTGAAAGTTAAACGGGAAAAGTAAATATTGTTTTCACTAGGTGTTATAATTATCCGTATTAAACTTACAGAATTTGAAAACGGGACCGGGTCGCGGCGCATATTCAGGTGCATAGCTTATAAACTAATTATAATCCCAAATGCGGCGCTTATTCGAAGGCGGCGCTTAAGCGGGACGCTTATTCGAGAAGATAATACATTTTAATTTTGGTTGGGTGAAATTGTCCGAGTTTGTAGTTTTCACTGTTGCAATCAGTAATTTACTCCGAATGTCTATGCTTTTTGCTAGCCTGCACTCAGTGCAGGCGTATAACGTATTTCCTCGAACAAGTGACCGGGCGCTTATTTCAAATTTCAGCTAATATATAGATTTAGCCAGGGCTAAAAGCGAGGCTCCCATTAGTAAATTTATAATTTAAATTAAACAATAAACTTGTATTCGAATTCCACAATTCAGTTAACTTTAGAGCACATTTATGTGACTTTTGAGGGAAAGGCTACCTGATTTTAGAGAAAAATAATTTGCAAACAGCCCAAGAGTGAACCAAATCTTACATCGAGTTGATAGCCTCATATGTACACTCAAAAACTGGTAATCATCTTTTATCACATTTAAGAGCCGTAATGGCTATTGATCACCGTAGATCAATTAGGCTTAGAAAAAAAATCAGGCCAACGTTTTGGCGTTCGACAAGTTTACTTTGCAAAATCTTGCCAACAAATCTGGGTGCGTGTAAACCAACCTTTTTTACCATGGACAGAAAGCAGTATTTCACAATACAAATTGCTCTCATTCAATATTCATAAACTGTTAAAAAAAATATTCCAAAATCACCTATACGGCCATCCGGTTCTCACTTTTGTAGTGCGAGCTGTAGCGAGTGTTTGAATGAACATTAACAGAGTTACGCTCCAAGATAATAAAGAATTTATCATGTTTATTTTTTATTTGATGGTTTAACGCGCGGCATTTTGAGAACTCCTGCAAGCGATGTTCACTGAACGACTGAAAACAATCGGCATAGCGATTAAAATTGCAAGAGAGACTACCAACAATCAATAAAAGAAATATAATTCGGTGAAACATAAACAGAGACAACAATTTTCATTCAGGAAGACAAGTATTAAAGTGTCCCTAAATATCCTGAGTCTTCAAGCTTCAAGCTTAAGTTTGCTGAAGTTTATGTTTTAAGCCAGCTTCCCGGTGTTTGTTTTTTCAAAGACGAACTCGAGGCAAGAAAATCGCTCAAAGCTTTCTTTTCCGGCTAGAATTATAACTAAAGATTCTTTGGAACATTTTCTTTCTATTTGCGGTGAGAAACTGTCTAAAGGCTTTTTAAAGTTCTGTAAGATTATATCAAACCAGATACTCGGTGAGATCGTTGTCTCAAAACTTACAAACGCGCATAAACTAAATTCCCGCATAAACTACGCTCCTCTTCATTAAATTAGATACAAAAAACAAACATGAAATACAATAATTTCTCTGGCTTACCATTCGAGATGCAGCTCCTGAAAGTTATCAGGTAAAGCCAGTATCGCTTCAGACTTTGCAATCCTCTTACGCATCAAGCAAGGTGAAAACGAAAACGATGCCATCCGAAATCGGATTTCCGACTTTGACAAGCGACGTTTTCTCAACCAAAAACCCAATAAACAAACTAGCCATGAGTAACAGAAGACTCCTGATAGCAGCTGAATTTCATTTTGTACATCCAGTGGAAAAAGACAGTTAAAAACATCACAAGTTGACACAAAACTCTGTCAGCTTCAGCTGTTAAAGTAAACAAGTTTCAAGATGCTGCATAAATTTTGCGCATGAACTCACATGTCAAATTTTGACCAATCAGAGCATAAAAATTGGACGTAGAGCGTGACCAACGCGTGACCATTGTGAGAAAAAACAAAAGCAACTGTCTTCCCTGCCTGTAACAGCTGGCTGAATTTTCTCGTCCGAGGTCAGTTTGCAATCAAAATTTTAATTGTGCACCACATAAACACAACATATTTCATATGAATTAAGAAAAAAATTGAACTTGAGCCTGCGATCACTTGAAAACTAGTTTACTTGTCAGCGGATAACTTCAAAAAATACTTGACCTCGACGGGTCGACACCTGAGCCCGCGATACGGTCAAGTGATACTGGTCAGCGGGTACTCTGTTTTGACAGCTGTCAATTGATCAAAACATTGATGTCCAATATGTGTGCATTATCAGTTTTCCTGTGCTCCCAAACTAGTAAAAGTATGAGATTGAACGTTGTTCGCGATCTAGTAAAACAGTTAACTGGTCAGCGGACAGCTTCCAAATAAATCACGTCACCTCGATGAGTTGACACATGAGCCCGCGATATGGTCATGGGATACTGGTCAGTGGCTATCCTGTTTGGACAGCTGTCAATTGACCATATTGTTAATGTCCTATATTAAAGATGTGGGCTTGCCAAGACACGCCTGAGACACCCCTCCCTTCCTTTTGATAGTTTCCCCTACCCCACCCATACAATCTGTAGACGCGTACGTACGCTCGGTCAATCACGTGACAACCAAACGAAAAGAGGTTGACCATATTCCATGGGTATGGGGCTCTGTCCCACGCGCGCTTCGCGCGCGCGGGAGCCCCGCTAAAAAGATGGGCGGTTATTGTAAGGAGGGCGCTTAATCGAGGGGAGCGCTTATTACGCTTTCCTTTAAACGAACTAGAGAATGATCTAGTCGCTTATCAAGGGCGAGGCAATAGAAAAAATCATTAAAAGAAGAGTATAGCGCACTTATCCGCGGGGAAGCTTATTTGTGGTGACGCTTATTTGGGGGAGGGCGCTTATTTGAGGAAATACGCTATTCCGAAACCCGAGTGAGTTTTAGCGCTCGCTGCGTCTCTTAGCGTTTCCTAACTATCAGTTATCAAGTAACGGTCCGTTCTGTAAGATGTTCACCGCCTGGCCGGAGAAAATGTGGGTTTTTTGCATGAACCACAACAGAGAACTGATTTAAAGTTTGCTGACCAGTTAAAAATGAAATCAACCACATGACAGACTGTATTTCACGTTACTTGCTGAACTTGCTCATAATTTTTTTTCGTTGCGCGCGCAGAAACGTACTTTTCCACCGGAAGATTGATTGGCAACTGAGACTGATTGGCCATTATGAGCGCGTGCATTCATTCTCCATTGTTACATCATAAAAAACTGCTTAAGTTGTAAAGAAAATTTCACCTGCTTTGACGGTTCGTTCTTGATGGTTCGTACACCTTGACATATTGTACACATTAAGACGAGAGAGAAGAAAAACAGGTAATCAAAGTGGGTAAGTGCATTTCTACAGAAAGAACTTACATTTTATACATCGAAGTCTCTCCTTTCTTAGTGAGAGGCAGTGGAATGAATCTTTATATTTCATGTCCTATGTGATCGTTTCAAACGAATTTTTTGCTGTTGAAACAACAACAAAAATTAGGGGCGATAATATTCCCTAGCGTTTTTTGTTCCCTTTACGTTTAAAAAGCGCCTTACCATTGATTACCAGAACTGATGACAGACCCGCATTGCCTGACATTAAAACTACTTTGTTAGTTGTTTTCCTTTCAAGCAATTACCGCTAAATGTCTTTCCCTTACGCAAAACCAAAGAACCTACAAAGTTTTTCAATAGTTTAAAAAACACCGTTTTGAAATTGTAAGATCGAACAGTGAAGAATTCGGACAATTTTACAGACACTTGAATTGCAAACAAGTAACCTTGTTCTCAAGCATTATATCTTCCTTTTGTCGGAGAAAAAATAAAAAGGCTTCATTGTCTCTAAAAAATTACTTCTTCTGAAAGCACGATAACGGTAGCTGGTGACCAGGTCTACCCGTGTTTTCCTGCTAATTAGTCGGTTTACGGGAATATTTCAACTTTTCCTCTGAAAACATAGTTTCCGCCCATTTTAAAAACGTCGATCACGTGACTGTTGATGTTGTTTTAAGTTATCAGGGATCTCAACGCCTTGTAGAGAGGGAGAGGTATGACGTCACGTCACCATGGTAGCACTATTTCTGGATGACAACAAAACCAACGACGACGGCGACGGAAGGAAAACGACAAAAAGTAAAAGGTTTTTATTGAACAAACGACAATTTTGCACGTGCATCACGCTATTTTGTACATTTCTTTGCCGTCGTTGCACCCCTGCGAAATGAAACTTCCTAATTTCACATCCTCGCTTTATGAAGTCGGTGTTGTCTTTTTGTTCTTCTAATCTTAGATACGGTCCTTTCGGATTCAACCCGAGAAAATTTCGCCAACATTTGCCAAATTAAATGAAATTAAATAAGATCGATGAAGTTTGAAGCCGTGCGAATTCACTTTGTAAGTGACGTTTTCGGTTTGTTGTCATCCAAACATTTGTGCTACCATGGCAACGTGACGTAACGAATTCTCCTCTCTATTCGAAACATGTTTAATTAAACCAGGTTCCAGCGACAGAGAGATACAATGGTCTAATGGCCGAGTGTCCCAAGATATAGGGTCTCTATAAATGCATAAAAATAGTCTCTGAACACAAGACAACTTATTTTTTAACCTTAAATGCAGTCCTTCGGAATTCAACTCCAGAAAAAATTCACCAGCATTTGACAAGCAAAACGACATGGAATTCACTTTGTTAGAGACGTTTTCGCCACCGTCGTTGCTTGACTTCGCAATTGTCAACTGAGGGTCGATGTTCGTAAAATCTGCCTTTTAACCTTTGTGTCACATAAGGCATCCGAAATGGCTTAAAACGATAAAGTAAAATATTATCAAGCTTAACGGTTTAACCCTTCTGTAAATCAGTAGGTTTTATTCACTATTAGCCACTTTAGAAAATACCATAATAATCTATTTTGTCCACCCAAAATTTTGCATAACCATTCTTTTCAGTTTCTCTTGGGAATTAGAATCGTCCGAAGATTTTGGGGGGACAAAAGATTATTATGGTATTTTCTAAAGTGGCGAATATAGAGATCTAAAGTGTGACGACATGCCCTGAAATGCTAATATTTGGCAAGTAGGCCTGTGGATGTTGTTCTTTCAAATATCCTGAAAAATCCCATAATTTCACAAATTTAATTTTTATGACGTCATCAATTCAACGACTGGCCTTTACTGGGACACCTTGAAAAAGTTTTGACAACAAGACTTTGAAAACCATTACACTGAGCCAAAATAATATGTTTTACAAACACATCTCATCTTTACTTCATAATAATCAAAACAAAGGCACTCTTGGTATTGGCACGACGGCTTTAAACAGTGAAGACATCTTCAAAAATACTCTTACGATTTACCTGGTACCTAAATGTTCTCGTTAGTTAAACAATTCATTCTTAATATAACGTAAATCCTCTATAAAACCCCTACCATTTCAAATTAACTCCCTTTTTCTACCTTTTTTTTTAAGTCCCCCCCCCCCTTCCTCGCCCCTTATTCTTCAAAACCAAATTAAAAAATGATAGACAGTATCAGTTAATCACTATTGTAACACTTCATGTGGACTGATCCCGTTTGGTTTGATCTTCTGCTACATGACCTTCAATTTTACGTGCTTGAGCTTTTCAACTTTGCATTCTAGTTCTTTGATATCATAACATCTTCTGGTTGTCGGTTGTTTCTTTGTTTCCTTGTCTAAAACAAAAAAGAGGGAGCCGTAACTCTAGTCTTTGTCTTCACTGTTTTGCTGATGGTACCGGTAATTCGTTTTGTTAAAGTAACACCCTCTCCCTCCCTCCTTCACCTCTACCGCGCTTTAAATAAATAAGGCCCCCGGTGGGCTTTATAGAGGATTTATGGTAAAAGAAAAATCTATATAACAAAAAGACGAATTAATATATCTTTGAGTTTTAAACTGATGTGACAAGTCAAGAAGATGATAAAAAACTAATAAAAAGTGGGGGTCACCGTGCTCGGTTTGACGTCACAATGCTGGCAAATGCTGGCTGTTTTTGGACCTTTGGACAAAAACCGCGCGCAGCCCAAAACTAGACAAAAAGGAAAGATTTTTTCAATGATGCATGTGGTATCGCACAGAATTTGACTTCAATGTATTGTTGATCTACTTACGTACCATAAAAATGCCTTTTAATGCCCTTGTTTTTACTTTACGCTCTTTCCGCTCTTGGACACGCGCTATTCGACACGTGATAGCTCAATCCGTACAATCTAGTAAAATTGCCAAAAAACTGAACATAGATTTGTGCCAATTTTTTTCTCACCGAAAGGAAGTACTGTCCTTATTAAAATCATGAAATAAAAAATGGGAGTCACCGTACTCGTTTTTGCGGTAGAGCTGCAGAAAGTGAGCACCAAATGCATTTTGCTTGATTTTTGAGAGAGGACTGGGGCGAGTTTTAAAATAGAATGTACGTGAAAGGGGGAAGAAAGTATTAAAAAATCCGTTTTTACAGAATTTACATCTAGATATCACATTTAGGATACAATGTGATAAAGAAAGCGTTTTAAATGAAAATCAAAGTGAATAAGAACAAATTAAACATCCACTATCGAGGTTCTCCGCGAGGAAGTCGAACTCAGCAACACGCGTACTGCTTACGTTATGCACATTCCCACCACACTGAGTCTCACCTCGGCAAGAAACAACCGCAAGCAAAAATTGCAATAGCGTCAACTTCATTTTAATAATGTTACTTCACATGCTCTTTTTTACGGAGGCCATCTTGTTATGCGCAGTAAGAGATGCGCAGTGCAAAACCAGGGAATCACCTTAAACGTTTACACTTACAGTGCATAGAAATTACCAAAAATATAAAACTATATCTCTGAGTTATTAACTCTAAGCTTTAAGCCACATCGACCTTACGAAATTACTTGAATTAGATCATATTCTTAGTAAACTACAAATGGGAACAGCTTTGTTAAAAGTTTACACTTACAGTGTATAGAAACAGCTATGTTAAACGTTTACACTTACAGTGGTGACGTCAACAATCACATTGCTGAACACCATTTACAGACGATACATCAAATCGACTGGGACTCTACGACATGTACTACGTATTCTACAGACTACTATCAACGACTTACTTTAGAAAGCTGGTTTACTAACTAAGAGCAAACGCCACTGAACCGTAGCCAACAGCTACCGGCACCGTACAAAAACGACTTGTTGACGAATCAAGCAGAACTAACTAAGAGAGAACGACTGGAGAACTGACGATTTGACTGACAATATTTTTTCTAATTACTTGACTAGGGTGACTAGAGTGCTTTTTTTATCAACCAATATTGTTTTTCCATATTTTAAACAACGCATATAGGTTTGTGAACTTTTGACCACAGCCCTTTTCCGGCTGTTATATTTAACTCTCTAATTATAAGAAAAAGAACATTGATTTAATAATTCCAAGCCGGGGTAAGAATATAGGTTTTTTTTCCTTAACAAATCCTCCTCCTAGGAATTTTCCCAGTAACTTTAAATTATGCGAGCCGATAGAACTCAGCAAAGCACTATTTAAAATTATACTGTGGATATTTCCTGGCACTAATCTTTTTCGTTTCATCTTACGCAATGTACGTTAAAAGTAAGCTTTTCTACTATTTTTTTTTCTACTTTTCACTGTGTATCATTAGAGGAGAAAGAATATCATCCTTACATTACTTTTTTCTTCTCCTTTGTACTCAATGTGATGTATTTTATGTACCATCCTATGTTAAGATACAAAAACTAATCTCAGAAAGATGATTTTTCAATCAGTGATACAGGAGGATCGTAAGAAAAATTCCAAGTACTCCAATAATCTGCTACTAAAATATCATATTTAGCGACTAATATACAACACAATCACTGATGTAAAAGCCGTCTAATATTTTACAGTTGATCGGCGATTACGGGAATCCCACAATCGCTTAAGACTTGATAAAGTTCTCCCACAGACAGGTAACGCTTATTCGCGACAAAGGCTAAGAGAGCTTCAACTGGATTCTTGTTACGCTCATCAAGAAAACGGATCTCTCCGGGATTCAAACCCAATTTCTCAGCAACAAACTTCCACTTATCGCCGTCCGCAACTACAACAAAGAAAAACCGAAACATCAGCGGTTGCCTGACAACAACCTAAACCTAAACTAACCTAGCTACGGTTGGGTAAGCTGAGTTAGTAAAGCGCTAGCGGGAGGTCGTGGAGTTCGATTCCAGGGGACGAACAAATACTCGGGAAAAGGCCTTTCTCCTAAAGACGGCTAGATCGTTGCGTGGCCGGTTTGCAACACGAGACGCAAAACCATGCCCCAAATTTGTACTTGCGTACCAATGCATTAAGACTAAATAAGGCAGTTTAAAATGATAATGATAAAGATAGTCTTCATAATAATTTTTATACATTGTAGAGTCAACTCTCTTTATAGCAGACACTCCAGGGACCTCGACTTAGCGTCCTGATTAGCGAGAGTCCGTAATAGCGGGAGTTCATTTCAGTCAAATGTCTGTAATTTATTGTTTCCTGGGACTTAACTGCTGTCCGTATTATCGGGGTGTCCGTTATAGCGGGGTGTTCGTAAGGCGAGAGTCGACTGTACTCACTCTTCTCTCTGGCTAAGATCCTACATGTACACTTGATTTTGGAAATCAACGCAACCTACAGATTAGTAAGTTATCTACTATCAGATTAATGACTAATTTGTAGGTTGCGCACGCAATGCATGATTTTCAAGAACAATGACAAAATGTGTTCCGTGCGATGGTGTGTTTTTTGTTACTTTCTTCGAAACAGTGTATAACAAAACAGTTCTTAGTTTTGGTTTTTGCGATACCCGTAATAATCAAAGTCTCGGTGAGCGTTACCAGCTTCAGCCTTCGGCTCGGCTGATAACTTTTCCTCGACCGAAAGAAAGTATTAATTTGCTCACAAAATAAGATGTCAGACAGATTGAGTTTATCCTGAAATCCATACCAGTCAAGTCGATACTAAGCTGTCTTGCTTGCGAAATAGGGATTCTTCTCACGTCCAGGGATTCAGGTAATAGTGGACCTGGAATCAAGCATGCATATCAGTGTGTAAAACTCATTTGTTAATAGCCCACGTTTGATCTTTCAAAACTCTTACATGACTCCAAGATCATAGGTCATCTTTCCTCCTTCAAATGAAAGAGATAAGAATAATCTAATGAACTTGAAATACATTAGCACGAACGCAATTAGACAATAAGCGATCCTCGAGTATAATTAGAGCAAAGTTCAATAGGGTGTAAAGTGAAAACACTAGACCTCCTAGGAATGATTATGAGGAAACCTGAGAAACACTCACCAGTAGTCCCAGCAGGTGTAATTTCTCTTAAGTATTCCACCACATCAGGTCTGTTACAACGACTAGCTTCTCTAGCCAAGCAGCGGATCTGTTTCTTGGTGTCAGAGTCTGGCTGTTCAAGAGAGGCATGATCCAACTGCAGAGTCTCCTTCAGTTTGCTAACAACCAGTTCGGCATCGCACGACTTGGACGAAAGATGTTGAAACACACTGCTACGAACTGCCAATGCCTTTTCTTGGTTTCCTAGAATTACACCAATGCCACACTCACTTAAAAACATAGGAAAGTAATAGCATAATTTTTTCTCTGGTATAGGGTGTTTTCACATGACGTCACGGCGGCCATATTGGTGTCCCAAAACAATGAAACGGCGGCCATGTTGGTGTCCCAACCAGTCCTGTGGGAGTTGAACTCTTTTCTTATGTAAACGCTTTCTTTTGTTCCAATAAATTTGCATATATGCTGGCCACGTGAGTGAAAACACCCTATATCGTTATAAAAAAAATGTGGTCGAACAATAGCTAAAAAGTTCGCAAAGGTGGGGGACCGGATTAAAAGTATCGTCTATACACTCTTTCCCGGAGATCATTCCCTCTTACGTTTCTAATCAAAATGTCGTTTGCTTATAAAGGAATCTCACTGATATTTTTGTCTCAGCCTTCTAGATTCTCGTCTACCAAGGTGGATAAAGTACCGGAGGCTTCATCCCGTACACGTCTAACTAAAAAAAACCTCAAATAATCCGCCACGACGCAAATGACAATGACAATGCAGCAATGACGTGAAAGTCTTCCAGTATGAAGCAAAAAATTACAAGACCATCAATCGTGCGTTTGTATCGACACAATGAGTGTTGTTTTGTGGAGAAAATGTGATTTAAAATTTGCTAATATGGTTTGTTGTGTTTTTTAAAATGACTATTAAAATAAATTCATTTTGACATTATATTACCTAATTATAACATCAAAACTGTACGTCAATGATAGACTTGGTGTGACTCTGTGTAAAAGTATCGTCCGCGGTAAATCTACAGGCTACGAGCCTCCAAGCCCAGTCCAGTCCCAAAAAGCCAAGTCTAAATAGGGTTTAGCCTCATACAAAAATAGTGCTTAATTTTTGCACCGATCTGATTTTGAATAAAATTTTCGTACACTTCATAAAGTCAGTTCGTGGTTTGGCACATCTAAACACAAAGCTACACTTAACGGTTTCAGTTACTCCTATACTTTGCGAACTCCTCCCTTTGGATTCGTCTGTTAACAAAACGGTTTATTACTTACTAGGTATTTTCTTACTGATGGTTGTTTACTCATTATCCTTACCTTCACCAAGATCAAACTGGTCTCCGTCACATTCATCAGTTCCAAGCTGTAACTAATAAAAAGGAAAAAATAACACTCTTTTCTTCCTTCGTTCAGAGACAGCTGACACTACTTCAATTTCAGTGCCAACGTTTTAATTTTAGCTCCAAACTCCGTGACTTTCCTTTCAGCGTTTGCTCAACTGTCATCAGTTAACGCGAGCTTCTTTTACCAGGATAATTTTTCAGGTGCTGCAGGTTAAAAGTTTAATTTGGCGAAACTGCTTAAATTACAGATTGGTTACCGTGGTCAGGGGAGGGGGCGGGCGGGGATGTATAGAGAATCTGAGATTAAAGAAATCTCACGTGACCACACCACATCTTTGGAGCAGGAAACCAACGGTAAAACTAGCTGATCTCAATTGTGGTGTCTCTAGCAAAAGCCTCCTGCAGGAGATAGTTCTAGTGTCACCAAACAATTCAGACACAGTCCAGAAGTGAAGGTATTGTTCCTGTTTGCATATTTTTGCACCATGGGTTTGACAAAACGCAATTTCCCTTTCTTTGGAGCAGAGGGGACATATGACACACATTTCATATTTTCCAGCCAGGGAAACTGATTGCGCATACACTCGAGAATTAAGCTCAGCTGTCTACACACCTTACAAGCACAGGTTTCCTCTCCGCTGCTTGGTAGGGAAAGTGCTGAATTCCCTCCATGAACAAAGACCTCAACAGACGAGAAGTGACATATAAAAATAACGGAGCACGCATCTTCGGAGGTATAAAACGTAACAAAACCTATAAAGAGCTGAGGAGTCTCTTCTGATTAAAATCTTTCTCCGCCCCACTGAATGAACTGTGCGACCAGCCGAGGGAAAAAAGCTGGAGGAACTTCACCACTTGAAAATTTGACAAAAAGGGAAGAAATATTGGCCGACTCCACTAGCTCGGAAAGCTCACTTGTTGGACATGACATTAACATTGACGGGAAAAGATACTGCCTGTTGCTCGAGGCATGGACTAACCAAGGGCATAATAAGAACTCTCCAATGTTCTCTGTCTTCAAACAAGGGGCCCCATACATGAGCCACAAGCTTTTCATCAAGTACTCCTTTAGACTCAAGCATACGCCACAGGTATAAGGATTCCTTTTCTTTAGGATCATACGGCTTTACAGCTATCACCTTCTTGAAAAGATCATTGACCATTGAGGATCTAGGACTACCAATTTATTCAACGGCACCGTGTCTTCGTAATGAATCAAACTTCTAATGTCGTGAAGACAGTTCAGCAAGGTCTCAAACTCTGTCTCGTCAACAATGTTGCAGTCGTTTTTCGCAAAGTCCTTCGGGGTCTCCAGGGAAATGCGTTTGTTTTACCACTTCTTTTTTGGCCTGAAGAGCCTTCTCGAACTTTAACCAGTTGATTGGAATGGTATCATATATATATGAGAGGAAGCTCCTTAGCAACAGCAATTATTTCCTGTCTTAGACGGACAACCTTCTGCACTTCAATAATTCCAAAATCAAGGAAATTTGTATCTGTATTCTGTTGAGTGGTGTTTGTTTCACAAATAACGTTATCTACGAAGCCACAGTCACGACAGCATCCGAATACAAGTAACTACATCGGCATGACAGAAAACGACTTCAAAACAAGATTCAACAACCACAACCTCTCTTTTAGGATCCGAAACCACACACATGACACTACTTTCAAAATACATCTGGGAACTAAAGGACAACGACACAACAACATCAAGTGGCGTATCATCAAGAGGGCAAACGCCTACAAGGGAAACCCGTCACGCTGCAATTTGTGCCTTTCCGAGAAACTCTGTATCTTGACTGGCCGCGATACTCTCCTAAATACACGATCTGAGCTGGTAATCAAGTGTCGTCACGAGAAAAAGTTCTTTGCAACCAATCACAGAACGCGCTGTTCCAAGCGTCCATGAATTTCAAATTTCCACCTTAAAACCGAAATCTGTTTTCAGAATTTTTAGAAGGTCTGAATGAAGAGGGGAGGGGGAATCTACTTGTCGCTTGTCAGTTACAATGCAGTTATTTTGTCGGTAGTCGGTTGAAATTTTCCATCTTTGTCGGTTGTCGGTAAATCTCAGTTAATAAGTAAAAATGCATGTCAATTATTAATATTTTCTATGTATTTCTCTCACTTCAAGACTTTGATCCCTATAAAACGTGTACACATTGTAAAACTGCATCATTTGATTGTCCTTAAACTTCATATTATATAGTACCGATAAAATCACTACAGCTTTTATCGCAAATGCGAACTTGGTTTCCTTGTTGATTGCAGGGCACTATAAAAATTAATGAACAGAGGCTTTTAGCGTTTACAAAGTCGTTCGCGTGGCTTGACAGACAACTGCCACGCGAATGACTTCGTAAACGCTAAAAGCCATGCAAGAGAGAAACCTCTGCTCGCGGGGTAGCTCTTTGCCATGATTTTCCTTTCTTGTAGAAAGTAATAGGTGTTTCTTTAAAAATTTAGCAAAGCAGTGGTTGGTTTTGTATGAGGATTCAAGTTTTTCTTTTATAGTGGACACCATAAGGGCTGGTATTGTGTCACGAAAGGCAAAATTTATTTTTCTTCCTCGCCGTTTTGTTTCAGAAGCGAAGATTTCCAGTTGCTGTGTGAATTTTATTTATTTCTGATAGCAATTTTTCTGTCAAACTGTGTTGGTAGCCTCTGTCCATCAAGCGTGTTTTTTTTTTTTTTTTTTTTTTTTAATTTAAGATACTTTCCTCAAATGTTGTTTAAGGCTAAGGGCTGCTCCTTTGTTTGTTTAAAATGTGCCTTTAAACATCAAGGATAGCTTTTTCGTGGAATCCTGGCCTTTGTATACAACTGTGTCTAAAAACATTGTCTCAGTGAATTTCGGAGGTGAATTTAATGGTAGGATAATGTAAGATTGCTTGTTCGAAGAAAGCTGTACCATGTCTGGTTTACTTATGTCCCACAGCGAAAAAATGTCATTCATGTCGCGTTTCCACTACCAAGCAATTGCTTTAAAGACGATTTTGCTTAGACTTTGTGTTTCAAAATATGCCACGAAAATGTTGGCAAAGGAAAACTGCTGTCTTTGTGCCCATCGCAGTATCGTGGGTTTGTATGTGGAGCTTCCCATTAAACTGGAAAGAATTTTCTTTGAAGATTACTCTCTAAGCATTTCTCGCAGGTAATGTGTTGGAATAGCTGGGTTGCTTTGAGGAAATTTTCATACGCTCTACAAATTATTTCAATACCCTCGTTTGTTGGTATATTTGTAAAAAGACTTGTGACCTTTGTGGCCTTTGTCGCTAGTCGGTTAACCCCATTCACACCCTCTTTTTAGTCTGATGATCGCTTAGTGTGTGAAACTCCGAGTTACAACTCTATTAATTTCCATCCTCTGTATTTGTATTCGTTTTTTTTTTCGTGTAAAGAAATTGTTCTCCTTCCCATAATTCATGCCCGCTGCGAGTAGTAGTGGTTTTTCTAGGGTCTGGCCTGGAGAAACCACTGCTCCTAGGGTACTGATAAAGCGACCTAATAGGACGTAATAGGTAATCGCTTTCTCGGTATTGTTGCTCTACTAGTAATATAGTATTGAGTATAGTCACTAATGGTTACTTCTTGTGGTGAGTTTGATAGTGTCCGGCAAGAATTACAAGCTATTAAGACGGAATCCCCTAGGAAATTGAGTAATTTTAAAATTCAATAAACAAAAACCTTGTACCGGAATTATTTAAAGCATATTGCATTCTTTTCTACATTTTTCAAGGGCTAAAGATGTAATTAATCATCTGTAATAATACCAAAAAATATTTCTTTGTGGAGTCCGAGAAAATGAACGTCAAATTTTACACAATTCACCTGACACATTAAATTTTCAGAATTTTACCTGTGTTTTCACAATTCTTGTGAAATTTGACCTTCTTTTTTTCAGACTCCCGCGAGACATTTTCTGAGGTGTTATTACAGATGACTAATTACATAATGAGCCGTTAAAAAATGTAAAAAAAGAATGCTATATTCTTTAAATTATTCTGGTACAAGGTTTTTGTCCACTGAGAATTAAAATTACTCAATTTCCTGGTGGATTCCGTCTTAAAGGGAACCTCCACTCTTACTACAGAATAAGTTTAAATCGAATAAAATTATGTTGATAAACAAATTTGTTCGAAATTTGTCCTTAAAAAAGTGTTTATATCAGGAAAAGTGAATTTTAAAATCGCTTATTTTCACTTTCAAATTTCGCGGGCGCCGCCATCTTGACGTGTTACGGTTGCTCTATTGTTCTGACACAAAGAGCTTTTGTTTAATAACAATAGGGCAACCGTAACACGTCACAATTATTCAAGATGGCGACGCCCGCAAAATTTGAAAACAAAAATAGGCGAATCTAAAAGTTATTTCTTTCAGATACAAACGCTTTATTAAAAAATATTTTAGATTGACTTGACTGTAACAGTTATTTCCTGTGATTTAAAGTTATGTTTGTTGAAGTGGAGGTTCCCTTTAAGCCAATTTAGGTAAAGCTGTTAAGGTGCTAACTATATTTTTGCAGCAGTGCTATCCTAACCATGCAAAAGCTATAGCGTAAACAAAACCACTTGATAGGAATGAATCTCATCACTAAAGACATGCACCTTTTCATCGCGTGAATCTTGAACTATTAGGGAGTCACGCTAAACCTGTTAACACGGTCCGTTAAGCCAGCGCTATCATAATTCATAGGCTGCTACTGCAGCTCTCCCTCGGGGTTGTTGAGACAAAAGCGGGCATGCTTTGCTCGTTCGCTTTCTCCACTCTCGCGCGCCTCATGGATCGTGCAGGCTTGCCCACTTGACACCTTCAACGTTACTCAGCTTGTCACTTCACCACCTAGAGTTACGACTCAATCATCGTCTTTAATTGATGTTATTTTAGCAACAGACACCAACGTTGTCAAGGAAACCAGAGTGGTTGAGTGCCACATTAGTGATCATTATCTAACCTACATTGTACTTAACCTAAAACTACCTAAACCACCCCCAACTTATGCCATCACTAGGAGGTTTCAACAGTACGATGCGATCAAGTTCCTAGACGATCTAGAACGATTTCCATGGATGGAAAATTCACTAATTAGTGAAAGAGTTGACCACTTTCACCGGAATTTCCTTTGTATGCTAAACACTGGCTAAATAAGCATGCTCCAGTTAAAAAGGTTAAGATAAAACAGCTCCAATGTCCTTTTGAGGACGAACAATTGCTATGTATACACCCGGATTTTCAGACATGATTCGACACTAATCACGTAACGTATGGCTTCGCAGTACGTATGACGGTTGCAAAAATAATGGCAGGCGAGAGTTCTGAGAGAAACATCTAGCTGGCAAGGAAAGCTTATCACCAAAAGACATAAGTGTAACGAAGCTAGAATCTCGACAAATGCGTTTTACATGAAGAGGAAACCTTTGCTACGTGGAAAGCGGCGACATAATACAACATGATGACTTGTGATAAACGTGGAGTTCTATTGCCGAGTTCGAATGTATTTCTGTAGGCGATTTCATAAAGCAAGAAATATTATCAATACAGTGAAAAGCGAACTAGTCCGATGTTCTTAACAATTATACCTCGAGTCCGAATGGTCTCTGAGTTAATAGCCCATAAGGCCGAAGACCGAATGGGATATTGACTCAGAGGCCATGAGGGCGAGAGGAATAATTGTTTTGGTAAAATCCAACTAGTTGGTCAAAAATATCGAGACAAAACAATTTTAGCTAGCAAAACGCGATTCAGCCGCCAAATAGGCTAACATATAGCCTAGCAGTAGCTCAACCAATCAGAACGCAGCATTGATAAAAGACCACTAGTTGGATTTTACTAATATTGTTTAATCTTCTTCCGTATGACTAGGTTTCGGTATTTTGCCGTTGGTGAATACCCGCGATTTACATGCAACAGTGAGGCAAATTTAGTTAACCAAGAGGCAAATTTGTATTTCCTAAAGTTGGTACTTTTTCGTCCTTACTTAGAAGTACTTTCTTCGTGGTTAAAAAATAACAGGAAGACTTCACGTTTTGCAGAAGAAATCAACAGGTAAATTCATCAGTCTGTCGTTGTGAAAGAATTTGCTGAAGAGTTTGAAAATTTTGTTTTGTCGACCAAAAAATATCACAGTGTTCGGTCCTCGACCTATGACCCTCGAGAGCTTAAATTTTGCAAAGCAGACAAATAAAACCTTACATAAAAGAAAGCAAAATTTGTTTTTATTGAAAAAGGGTAAAATATAACATTTCTTTAAAGATCAAGGTAGACGCCCAATAAAAAGGTTGAGAAAAGAGCCGAAAAACTTATTGATCGAGACGTCGACACGCGCGATACTATCTACTGTATTGCGATTAGATTGCGTGACTTGTATGAGAGACTGTTGTCTGAAAAGGAGAACAAATTGTGGATCACAGTCCTCTTTTTCTGAATTACAAGAGAAACATTTAAGCTATCATCAAAGTAAATTTCAGATTGTGTGCTTTGATTCCGGTAGGATATTCAAGGTAAAATACTGTACTGCTTTGTAACCTCTCGGTCGAATCATGTCTCAAAATCCGGGTGTATACACAGCACTGAAATCAGCTGTAATGAATTCCTTTCAACTGTGGGTGCTAGAGCGGCTGAAGCATCTGCGTCCCTGGCCGTAACGCTTGATCTCCCATTAACTGGTTCTCCTGTGCTCATTGATCAACATACATCTGAATTCGAGAAATTTCATTTTCAAGCAGTTTCTGAGGGCGAAATCCACAGGCTTGATATGTCCTTTCAATCCAACAAGGCTCCTGGTTACGACAAAGTTCCGATTTCTGTTATTAAGGACGCTTTACCATGTATTTTACCACTGAGCACTAACTGACATTGTGAACCATTGTTCCACTCCCAAAGGATGGCGACCACGAGTTAGCAAATAACAATCGCCCTGTTTCTTTACTTCCAGCTATGTCAAAGATATGTGAACGGGACCCGCTTAATCAATTCATTGCATACATGAAAAACTAGGAACGTTGGATTGAACATCAAAGTGGGAATAAAGCTCGACATTCAACTGAAACGATGAATGTTATGATGACAGACAAGTTTCTGGAAGCCATGGACAAGAAGATGCTGACACTTATGGACCTTTTGGACCTATGAAAAGTATTTGACATCATAGATCATGCCAATCTTTTAGCCAAATTGAGTTCGTTGGGGGTCTCTAGTTCAGCACTAGAATGGTTTAATAGCTACATGCATGATCGCCTGCAGTACCCACGAGGTTGGTTCTGAAATGTCCGGAATGCGTAAATCTACATACGGATTTCCACAAGGATCCATTCTGGGACGGCCTTTTTTAATGTGTACATCAACGATTTGCCTGGCATTCCAGATTATTGCTCCTTAGAATCCTACGTAGATGATTCCAAGTTACATCTAACATTCCCAGTCAAGGACATCGACACCGAAACTCGACAAATAATCGAAGGCCTGAAGAAAGTTTTTTCTCGTGGTGCTGTCAAAACAGCCTTCAAATCAACCCTGATAAAACGAAATTGCTCTTAATTGGCACCCATCAAATGCTGCAAATGTGCCTGCAGATCTGGATTGACATGTTACTTTATTGGGGAAAGAGTTGCGCCCGGTTCTTCTTCCGGGGTCGGCGAAGGACCTTGAAGAGCATATGGATACTACATTGAGTTTTGATGACCACATAAGAAGTATTTCACCTTCTTGTTTGTCGAGTTTATGTCAACTTAATAGGGTAAAACATCTTTTAGACACAAACACTGTACTAAAAACGCTATCAATGAACGAGTCTTTAGCAAACTCTACTAGGAATATCAATAAATTACTGCCTGTTTAAAACTTCGCAGCTAGGAGCATAACCCGTTCGGGTAAATTTGATCACATCACTACCTGTTCTTAGAGAACTAAAATGGCTGCATGTCAGAGACACGCGCAACAAAAATAAGATTGACATTCCAGGGTACAGAACTGCCGCAGGCAAAAGGAACTGTGGAACACCTAACCCAAAAGACTCAAAGAAGTTAACAATCATGACATTCAAGAAGGGACTTATGCGTTATTTGAAATCGTCTCAGTAAGCAGTCTATTTTTAAGAAAAGGTTGCTTATATTACCTTTGTCCTTGTATCTTGTTAAAATCTTGTGAATATGTAGTTTAGTTTTATTTTTTAACGTTTTTTATTGTATATGGTATATTTATGTATAGATATATAATATATTTTTTATACATGATATTGATGTAATTACTTTGAAAAGCCATATATGGAAAGTAATCAAGTTATTATTATTACTCCAGGACCACACAAGGGAGGAGTCACCAGCACTTCTTGTGCGAAAAAAAAAAGATTTCAGATATTTTTTGCAAGTGTACACTAGCAAATTCGTTCCCAGGGTTCTCTCCTACCCGTCCCTGCGGAGCGAGAGAGGGGAGTAGGAGAGAACCCTCTCTTCGCACCCTATCAGTTACATAGCCGTAGCAATGGTACTGTTAGTAGAAAGTACATGACGCACCTTTGAAACGTGTTCAATGGCCCTCATCCAAGGTACGAGCGGTTCCTTTTCCAGCATTTGACCCGGCTCACAACAAAGGAGTCTACCGTCCAAAGGTATGTAATGGCCACAGTCATGGTGCCAACATGAACGTTTTTCGTGCCGGGTGCAGGGCTTTCTCTCTTTTCCCACACAAACTGTGCATCGAGCGCACAACGTCTCAGACATTGAATACAGCCAGTGACACTCTTTTCGTAGCTTTTCCAAGAATTCATTCAACTGGCTACAAAAAAAGAAAAGATGTTCAACAGCTTCTATCTGAATCACTTGACGGACTCGTATGTCAAGTAAACTGGTCCTACCTGAATTGAACTGAAAAGCAAGCTCCCTTATCTAAGGGATGTTTCACAGTATTCACTATTAAAGTGATCACTAACGGGAGATTCAATACTGGACTTAACAGGAGATACATGCCTCATGTACACAAAAAAACACAAGCTACCACGAATGGATTTATAATTTAGTCACGAGTGCTTACCTTAAAACAAGATCATAAAGTTCTTGTGGAGGAGCACTGCCATGGTCTGCAAAAATTTGCAGCTTAATAACTGCCTTGTAGCACAACAATTGAAGAACATGGTTTTCATTGTCCAAGGCAAGTTTGGCTTCATTAGCGCAAAGGCTGCGCATATTTTTAAAGTGAGGAGTTTTCCCAAAAAGGACAACCAGTCGGCAGAAAAGTCCACTTGGAACATATTTAGTTTGAAATGTGAGGTATATCGCAGAAGCGTAATCTGTTTCATTTCTTCCCTTTTCTTTATAATAGGTAGTCAGCATACAAGGGACCAGGATTTGCGATTCTCCTGTTTTAGTTTCTTTTGCTTTTTCTGGCCACTTGCAAATGAGGTTGAACTTATCCATTAGAGAAATAAAAGAGTCTTTAATAGGACACACATTTTTTTTGTTGCAGGTATAATTAATCAACCGCTCACGAAGAACTCCTTCTTGTGCTAATTTCCTGCGATCTTGTCTTATACACCAAGGTTCGTTCTGATCCGGTTTCACTTTGATAATCTCACACAGTATATTGATTAACCACTGGGGATCCAAGACAATCAGACCAAATTTCTGTTTATCCTGTTCATGTTCGTAGTACACTATTGTTCCACGGCCATGCAAAAAGTACACAAGCTCATCAAAGTCGTCTTCACTCTCAAAAGTGCAGTGGTGTGAAACAATATCTTTTCGAAAAGATTCCTTTCGGAGGTACTTTTGTTTTTGCCAGACAGGTTGGCTAATTTCTTTCTCGACACGATGCCATTGCAAAGGGATTTCCCTCTTAGTATGAGGCATTTTATCAGCCAACTCCAAGATCTTTTTCCGCAACTCACTGATTTCCTCCTGGTCGGCTGATTTTCCAGATTTTGTGTTATCAATCGGAAGACAATCTGCGATGTGTGGTAAATAAGTGTATTCATCGAACACACTTGAACACTTCTCTTCTACTACAGATTCAATTGCTTGACGTGGATCGTCTACACAGTCAGCATGGGTACCGACAAGTATGACCGGAGGATACGAAAGACCATCGCTCTGAAAATTCGCCTTTAAAGAGTGAATCAAGTCCATCCACCTAAATAAGTGATCCAAATTGGTGTCCTCACTATCGCGGGCTGTTGCAGTGAGCTCTTTGTGTCCCACATTGACTCGACATTCTGCTTTTTCACTCAATTTCTTTGTAAGATCAAACACGAGAAGATAAATGTCATATGAGGACATAAAGATTGGATGTATAGAACGATAGATGTCCTGTCCAGCAAAATCCCAAATGATGGGCCAAATTTTTTCATCAGTGTCAGTTTCATTTTTCTCCAGGTATTCTTCTAATACTATGGCAATTTCGTCTGGAACGCCAAATGGCTTCTTTTGATTTTGAAGGTCTTGGTCTTCTGAAACAAAAAAGAATAATTTTCTGTGTTATTAGTGAAATTCTTCTAGTATTCACACTAATGCAAATCCAGCCTTTCGATTGTCTGACAGAAACATGGGACTGCACCGAAAAATACTTGTTGAAATCACCAGTAAGTGCTTCCTATATTTGTGATAAAATAAGGGGGAGCAAAAGTTTACAGTCTTGTTTTTCTATCCTATCTGCTGATAAAATCTCAAGTTCGCCTTGTTATATAAAAGCTGTTCGTTTAATAACCGGCTACAGAAAGTGGTGTGAGGAGTGATTTAGAAAGAGGGGCAATTAGAGACAGTATTTCACCACTCTGAAATACAGTTAACGACAAAAACAAAAATAAACCTAGCAAAGTCTGGATTAGTCGCGGCCACATATGTATTAAAGATCCAGAGCCTAGTTTAAGTAAGGAAGAGAAACGTTTGTATTGTTTGCATTCATTTGTTGGTGTAAGCGCGGAAGAGTTTCTTCCAGTTTCTGTAGGTTAGAACAAAAGAAAAGAATCAATCGTCATTCTTTCCGAGGATAGTTATTTTCAGGATTAACTCACGACGGCAGGCATCGATTTACTATCGGAACTTTATGTTATTTTAGGATTTCATCCAGACACAAATAGTAGAATCATTTGGTACTGCATAACAAATAGCATCACATCAAATAGTTTTTCTTGGAAGCTTTCATTTGATTCGTCACATTTTTTATTTTGATGGAATCCACAGTTATTTCGAAATTCGGAGCACATTACTGAACTTAGCGGATCATGTTCCAAAGGGGCTAAAGACGCTGTTAAAGGAGTACATAGCAGAAGGTGTTAACTTACGATTTTTCTGGGCCTGGGTTTCGTTGACCTCACTAGGAACTTCTTCCTGTTGGCGGAGTTGAGATTTTCCTTCATCAGCTGACGAAATCGGGTTTTCTGTGTGGTTATAGAAAAACAAAAGCGTGAAATGTTAGAAATTAGTGTAATAATACATAGCCTGTACAACGCTCACAGATTATCCACCTTCAGGGCTTGAAAGATCGGACGTCAGAGAGACAGATTTCCTCTGATGGCCTATGAGTCTACTACCTTGTTCTCTTTATACGTTCTGTCTATGTTTTAGTACCCCGTTGCGGGACTAGATGATATCTTGTAAAAAAAATCCATCAACTTAAAAGTCCATCCGTGTTTAATTAGCCTATCCTGGGGAGAGCAAGGAGGAGGGTTAATGCTACCAACCCAAAGGTTGTTCAGTTTTGATTTTTCAGAACTATTTAATTGCTAGAAACTTTTTCCCTTCAGTAACTTTTTATCAAGAGGCTATAAAGGGGACAGAGAGGGCATCCCCCATATACACCCTATTCCATAGGTAATTCGTCTCGAGTTATTTTTAACACCACAGATCTCAGGGGGGGATTAGATAACAGCCAATGACATAGCGCGAATGTGTTCCGCGTGGACGACCCACGCTGAGAGCCACGCCTCCTTCACGAAATGACGCAGAACAAAATGGGGGAAGACGCGGAGAGCGATTTTGCTATTCCTTTTGTCGACGAAAACGATTACAGCGAGATTTCTGCGAAAGCTGTGTCAGCTAAACCGAAATTAAAAAAGAATCGTCCTTCCTCTCTTGTATAGAGCTAACAGTAGAGCAGGGAAATCCTTAACACACTGAATATTCTCTCAGGATCATTTATAATTTACAGTTTGAAGAGAGCAATTTCTGGTTTGATGTTTATTTTTTGCAGTCTTTATAGCGATTATTCCTACCCACTTACTTTGTCAATTGTAGGCGAACCCTCCTAAAGCTGAATTTCAAGGGACCATATTCAAGCTCAGAAAGAGAAATAAAATTTCGTCGTTGCTTATTTACGTCCTCCGTAAAACGCGAAATTAGGCATTTTCACGTCGTAGCCGTGCAAAAACGGGAAAGAAATGAACAAAAAAGTGTGTTTGCACGTGCGAAGTTGTTGTTTTGCTAATTAAACCTATTGTTTTTTTGACGTTCTAGTTGTCGTCCGCGTCGTTGGATCTTAAACTCCCTAAATTGTACAAACGACCGGTTTCAATAGACCGACGAAATTTCTCATTTTATTAAAGCACTGAAGTTACGACAACTTCGAGTTAAACTGATTTCACGGGTTGTCAAAGAGTCCAGCGATTCCTTTTTCCCAGGTGAGCGCCGACTCATTTCGCTTCAATATTCAGGAATGCTCTCGATCTTTTTACGCTTTCATTGCCTCTCGCCCGACATGTTTTGCACGGCGTTTGGTCATGCGAAATCTCCACGCCTCGCGCGAGGTAACTTTATCCCGATTCTAAAAATAACTCGAGACAAATTACCTATGGAATAGGGTGTATACGGGGGATGCCCTCTCTGTCCCCTTTATAGTCTCTTGCTTTTTATACATTCGTTAGAAAATTGTATATAGCGGCAAGCACGGATCCACACCCGTTTCCACCGTTTTACAAAAATGGGTCAGATTTTTCACAATAAACATATTTTTAATGATAATGATAATAATAATAATAATACAATAATAATAATAATAAGAAGAAGAAGAAGAAGAAGAAGAAGACGAAGAACAATAAGAATAATAAGAACAAGACGCTATGGAGCGTACACTTCGGAGTCGTCAGTTGTGGGATTAATTGTAAATGCGGAGGAATAGCAAGAAATGATATATGGTGAGAGTGAGGTGTCAATTTCTGAAATTATGGGATTTGTCAGGATATTCTGAAAAGAGCAATATCCACGAGGCCTACTTGCCAAAAACTTAGCATTTCGGAGCAAATTGTCTCTGAGATATTCAGGCCCAGTTATGCTCTGATGACTCCATACAAATCCTTCTAAATTTGAGTTGGGTCTAAACGCTTAGACCCAAGTCAAATGTGAGGTTACTGGCGGTGAGTAACAAGTCTAACAAAACAAACAGTGAAAAAAGAATTCTCCATTTTTTTTTTTACATCAGTCTTCAGATACAGCATAACAGTCTCATGTACTGATTACTCATGTACTGCGGTCAGAAGATGATTATGTCGAAGTCTCCCGTCTTATTAAGCTATTTAATACATAGGTTAGCCTCTCTTCGTAATCGTTATGTACTTGCCTTGTTTTATGTTAGTTTATTGTATTTATTGTATAGTAGTGTCTTTACTGTTATTTAGCCCGTCTATAGACAAGCCTTGTACTTGTAATATGTCTTCAGCTCCCCCCGCCTCAATTAGTTCATAAGCTATTTGCGGTTGGGAAAGTAATGTCATTAGTTATATATTTATCCAATTTTCAATGAAATTTGTTGTTGTTGTTGTTGTTGTTGTTGTTGTAAAGATATGTAAGGCATGGGTAAGGAGTCAATTGCATTGAGCACGGAATTGGCTAAAACTCAATGTTACGAGTTCGATTGTTTTCAGGATCATTATTCACTAACTATCAGTACGCAAGCCAGGATGTCGGATTAACACAAGGAAGTTTAATACCACAGGAACAGTCTTTACAGGGCTTTAAAACACAGCATCCGCCAACACACACTTGACTTGAACTTAAGTAAAACTAAACAGCCTCTGCCAATAATAACAAACTCTCACTTGAACTTCAGATGTAAACACAGAACTTGAAAATCGACCTTCGTCACACTTGACGAAACACAGCACTCCAGATCGAGAGAAAAAACTTAGTTCGTCGAAACAACGCGCTTGGAACTTGAATAACGTTTCATAAAAGGTTACAGAAAATACTAAACAGGCGAATAGTAGTAGCTTTTCAACATATGTTATGATTTCAGTAACTGATGCAAATCTGCTGACTCATGCTCAAATGTTAACATGCCCTGATTAACTATTCATAAATAATCCAAAAACGTAGAGGTCACGCAACGCATGACAGCAATTTTACTACGTATCACTCAACAAAGACAAAACGTTTTTGTGCAGCATTTTGTAACTTTAAATTCATCATAAAACAGTTCAAAAGGAGCGCTTACTCGTGAAATGTTTTTGAACACTCGACGAGAAATTTCGTGTCTCTGCGCGGCCATGTAATATCCTCTTTTTATTCCTCGAGAAAATAAAAGACTAAACTCGAAGTGATCTCAAGATATCTCGAAGTAATTCGGTCTCATTTCGTGAAATAGCCGAAACAAGCCGAAAAGTCACGAACTTGCGCGCCCAATCTTGTCCCGATACTAGTGCATAGTTTCATCGCTATTTTTACGCCAAATTAACTTGGGTCGCAGTGGCGTAATCGGCTAATTCCTCAACTTAGAGTCTCCTCTGATCTGAAGGGTCACACAGGTGAGTCGGTGCAAAACTCGGGCGAGCCAAAATAATAATTCTTTCCTCCTCGAATAAGTTAAAGAATAAATCAAAGAAATCGAAGTGATCTCGAGATATCTCGAACTAATTCGGGCTCTCACTTCGTCAAATACCCGAATAAAACCGAAAACCTACAGACTTTGCGTGCTCAATATTGTCCCAAAAATATGAACTTTGGTGCATTCCTGAGCGTCGTGAATCCTTTACTTCGCGCTCCGCCGAAGTAATAAGAATATTTCTCAATAAGAAGAAGATTAAGGTGCTTATTGGTAAAGCAAAGAGGTCCTTTTTATGACGGCCCTCTCCTCAAAACGTCCTAAAGAGGTATGGAGGGTCATCCATCGTGTGCTTAACCCTAGTACTAATCCCCTAAGAGCCGATCCTGATCAACTCAACAAATACTTCATCGGCACTAACGAAAGGACACCGGGTACCACCCCGGATGCAACATCTGATCTTCTGGAGCTAGCAAAATCATTACCAGAGCACTCACAACGATCATTTAAGTTATGTCACGTAATTTTCGAGGACGTAATGAAGGTAATACGCCACCTCCGCTTAGACTGCTCAACCGGTGTCGATCAAATACCTGTTAAATTCGTTAAGTTAGTAAGTGAGCATATTGCCGGTCCTCTCACTCGCATCATCAAGACCTGTATTACCTCTTCGACGTTTCCTCGAACGTGGAAAACTGCTCGGGTTTCACCCATCCCAAAGACGGATCACCTACAAAGCGAGAAAGATTACCGCCCAGTATCTATTCTGCCGGCTATTTCCAAAGCGTTTGAGCGGTTAGTGCTGAAACAATTAATTTCCTACATTGATGAGCTTTCTTTATTGGCACCAAGCATATCTGGTTTCCGCAAAGGCCATTCTACAGTAACTGCGCTGCTAGGTATTCGCGATGATCTCGTGCGAGCTATGAAGAGGGGTGAAGTCAGCTTGATGGTTTTCGCAGACTATTCTAAAGCCTTTGACACAGTTTGTTTTAAGACAGTACTAACCAAGATGCACGCTTTAGGTTTTTTAAACGAATTTCTTACTTGGATGGTCCACTACCTCTCTGATCGCCGCCAGTTAGTTCAAAAAGACGACAAGACCTCGTCTATCGTGACTGTACTGTTTGGTGTCCCACAGGGATCGATACTCGGACCTTTTATTTTCAACCTATACGTTTCTGATCTTCAAAAACACATTAAGTGTTCCTGTTACCAGTACCCGGACGATACAATTTTCTTCGTTCACTCAAAGACGAAGGACTTAGCTAATGGTGTCGTGGAATTAAATGACGCAATATCACGTTTGGGGGATTACTCATCTGAATCAAACTTCGCATTAAATTAAGCTAAAGCAAAGTGGATGTTTGCCAGATGTCTCGAGCTCACGCGTTACACAATTATTATCCAGCTGTGAGCTGCAATGGGAAGCTACTAAAACGTGTCACCACAGCTAAGATACTGGGGGTTCACATGGACGAACATCTAACATGGGCTGACCACGTGACTGTGCTTCCTTCATCCTGTTATGCAGCATTGGAGGTTCTCCGGAAACTGCGCAACCTCGCACCATACCATGTTCGCAAGCAGTTAGTGGAGTCATTAGTGATGTCAAAACTGGACTACGGGTGCGTCGTCTTCTATCCCCTTCCCGAATACCAAATGAAACGGCTGCAAAGAGTTCAAACAACATGCGCGGGCTACGTACTTGGGCGGTATGCTGTTTTAGAGGACTTGAAGAAATTAAACTGGCTTCCAATTATGAAAAGGAGAGACCTACAACATTTCTCACCTCAGAATTAACAAAAAAGGAATGAATTTTAATTAATCTTTTACAGTCATTTAGGTGAGAAATGTTTAAAAAGCCCCATAACTTGCTTATTGTGTACAAGAAACGAAGGGAAAAGAAACTTAAGACAATGATAAGTTTTACCAAGAGTGTCTTTTAAAGAATAGAGCTCCCTATAAGTTGTATTTCATACAAGACGGCCCATAAAACAAGTGAGAAATGATGAGAGAACTGTTCAGAGCAACCGTCACGCAATTCCTTGTTTCCTAAAAGTAACTTACAGAAGAATTCTACCGACATCAAAGTAACAACGGACAAAGTCATGGGGAATACAATAAAAAGTGAGGACTTCGGTAACAGTGCACTCTAAGTTAATATTTTGTGCGGTGACCTCTAGACACAAGTACAGTTTTAATTCTGTGAGTCACACTTGATATGAGAATATCGATATTCTCTAAATAGAAAATAATCAATCATTAAACACTCCTAAACTTATGCATTAAGCTGTTCAACTGAATCCTTTGTAAAAATCTGTGTTACAGCCTCTTCATCTAAGTAACATTTGATCTGGTTATCTAAATTTTCTATGCAAATAATGGACGCATATCTTCAGTCTCAGTATATCCTCTTGGGCCTTCTTCGCACGCTTGCTCGTCTGGGCCATTGTACATTAAAAAGAGTCTTCTTGCGTTTCTTTTCGGCCTTGCCCGACCAAACGCTGTATTAAAATGGTTCCTTATTCAACTGAGCGAAGAAATTGCCGTTCATTTTCTCATAAGGTACAGTACTAGTTAGTGTTACCCCTTTTCTACAAGCGATGGCGTCATCCAAGTCCTTAGAACCTTAATTAGTATCACCTAATAAAAACGAAAGGCCTTCTCCCTTCTGTCGCCATATCAGTGATTTTTTTTTTTACATTTCGTTGTATTTGTGGACAAAGGACACGGCATCTAAATAAAAAGCCACTTCGATTCATTCGTCCAAAACAGAGGAGTTTTCGCAACTGGACGTTTCAGGTTTTTGCGAGCACCGAATCGTACACGCAACTTGCGATTGTTTTCACTTAGAAGCCCATTTTTCTCTGCTTGTAAATATGCGTAACCATTTTCATTTAGCTAATGTGGAAATGTTTTGTGCTTGCCGTTTCAAACCTAAGCCCAATCTGCTCCACGATGCTTTTTGCTGTAATGTTTTCACAGTTTTCTTGCCCTTGAGTACGTTGAGGATACTTAATAAGCATGCATTCGAAACCGTTCATCTATTCGCCTCCGCTCTCGGAATAAAGAATACTTACAAGGTAACACCTGGTAACTCTTTAAAGATTGCTATACCTACAAATCCACAACTTTTCTCTAAGTTTCGTAATGTTTAAAACTCGTTTTCCTATAGAAGGGGTTTTCAGACAACCCTGGTCAAAACTCTTGGGACACTAACGCAATAACTTGTCAAATTGAGGCATCTTCCCTCCCCTCTTCCCCCTGGGTGCAATGTTGACGTTATGCATTCAAGTTTTAATTCAACACAATCAACACTGCTTGGGGGAGAGGGGGACATCAGAAATAGCCCCTTATAACAGCATCCCCAAGCTTTTTTAAGAGGTAGAATATGAGTTAATTTAGCAAAGTGCGTCTTTGTGCCTAATTTCCTCAAGTGTCCCAAGACGTTTTGACCAGAGTTGTAGCACTACCGAAAATTACTCATAAAGCCCTCTACGATGATGTTTGGCCTGATTACTTACGCCTTAAATTCCATACTGTCAGTGCCTATAACTTAAGATCTCTTGAAGCACCAAAGATGGCTACTCCAACTGAAAGAGGCACTCTTCAGGACTCAGCAGCGAGATTATTTAATACGTTACCTGATAGGTTAAGGCAAGAGCCTGACTATAACAAGTTCGTTAGGTTAGCGAAGAAGCTCATGTTCTCCGAAGGAGAAAGCGTATGACTGATTTTTATTTTCATTATTATTTTTAACCACGCTGTTTTTTAACTGTACATATTTTTATCAAACCTTTTGTACTTATCCTTAATTTATTGTATATATCATTTTTCATTTAAATTCGGTTTGATTTTTTGTACTAATATACTGTAGTTAGGGCATTAGTAGGCGAAGAGCCACCTCGTGGAAGTACTACTAATAAAATCGTTTTTGTTATTGTTATTATTATTATTATTATTATTATTATTATTATTATTATATTAGAAGAAGAAGAGGGAGAATAATAATAATAATGATAAAATCTTTCCAAGTTGACTGGCTGGAAAACAAATGTTTTCTTTTTTTCAATTTCCGGGCATTAGATAAAACCCCCACTGCCCCCCCCCTCCTTCCACCTATGAATCACAAACCCACAAAAGAGGACTTTAAACTTTAGACTTTAAAATTTCCTTGGGGAGCATGTCCCTACACCCCCTTAAAAGCTTGCGCCTTCCTCCCTCGCTTAGGAAATCGATTAGTATTTATCACAGACCCGCACCCGAGCGGCCATGCCTTGTTAAGCGGCCAGTTTTCTTTTTCTAAGGCCCGATTTTTTGCCCATACAAGCGCTGAGCGTGTGTGTTTTCTGGATATTTCTACCACATTTAAGCAAATTGAAGACATGTTCTTTTCTTCAAAGAAAATTTAAATCTTTCTCGTAAACCAATGAGCTCCTAAATGAGCTTTCCAGGGCCGAACGCCGTCAGAACTTTTGAGAAAGAGCCTCTCGAGCTCAAGGATTCTTTTGAAATAATTATCAGAGAGGAAAAATAAATTAAAAGAAAATGGTTGGGACGCTTACCATCTTGAACAAATAACTGATCTGTTTTTTCTGATCTGTTAGACGCTTCAGTTCTTGGTCCTTTCTTTGCTGGCTGCTCCGAAAAATTGCTTAATAAATCCTCAGCAGTCTTTGCAGCAACCTTATGATCAAATACTGTTGTGTGTTCAAGAAAAGATGGATTTCTCCACGCGCCTGTTCCAGCATTTTTGATAGCAGGGATCATTTGCACTCCCTCGGTACTGAGTTCGGCTTCATTGAAAGGTTCACCTCTTAGAGCTTTACCGAGGCTCGTTTTCCCCACACGGTCTTGCCCTACGAGCAAAACCTTGACACGTTTATCATATGTGCTACCACCAGTCTCGATTGCCCTTTGGTAAGCAGCAAGTGCCTTGTCTTCTCTAGCTCGCACAAACGCTGGAATCGAATCTGAAAGTATTAAAAGAATCGGTTTAACAAATTATTAGAGGTGACATCAGGTTTCATACTGATGTTAAATAAGCTAGTCTCCAGACGCATCATGTATCAATTCTTGCAGAACGCGATGACACTCGCGATGCACTGTGCCCGCCCCCCGAACGGAGGCAAATTGTCGCTGTGACGTAAGATTTGAGCGACCGTTAATTACGTCACGTCCAAGAGTCCGGTCATACGCATCCCGAGAAAGAAAACTCTGATGGAAAAAGTTTAAAATCAAGCGCTTTGCTAGCGGTTGTGATGAAATCTGAGACTCTAGAAGCATAGAAGGGAAAGACAAATTATCGACAGATCCTTTGACGGCAATTTTGGCGAGTTTGGACGATTTTTATGGGATTTATGGAACTTCGAGCTGGAACGGTCGGCTTCGGGGCCCCCAGCCTTCTCATTTTTCTTACTGTTAGTACAACTCAAAATCTTAAACGTCGATAAAACGGCTTCCAAATGGCTCTAGAGGCGAATAGACAGTAAATGACAAAACACAAACACAAGGTAAGTCATTTTTATTTCTATTTTTGTCCAAAATTGGAATTTAGGACGTATTTTGTTTATTTTCATACATTCTCTTATAAATTCAAAGCCCAACGAACTCCCACAGAGTTTGGGCTGCCTGTGATATAACGATCTTCGATATAATGATGAGAATTTAGCTGCGCGAATGTAAACTCTTTCCCGATATAACGATACTATCAGTGCGCAGTCACAATTTAAGCAAAGAATTGAATTGAATTAATAAAATAACATTAACGTTATCGAGTAATCTTTAACGCTTCTGTCAACTTACTTAGTTTACTTGGGCTGTATATAACTCTGATAAAAAAACCATTGCGACAAAAACGACTAACGAGGGACTGTTGCAAGCTAGCGTGTCATGCACAACAATGCATTACTTGCCGGCCAATGTCTGTTTTTTTTTCTTTTTTTTTAAGAAAAAAAAAATGAACACAGAAAGTACTGTGTAAAAATTCAAAACTTCTGGGTGTTACGAAAACTAAGACCCTCGAAAACTAAGACCTAAGACCTAAGACCCGTCTTAGTTTTCGTGATTACGAAAACTAAGACCCCCTAAAATCAAATCCGTCGAAATATGAAGTCAAACTGTAATCGAAATAGGTCTAATCTGTCAAATTATCTTCTGTCCGATCCTTTCCACCGAGTTTTAGGTCGAATTTAACAATAAATTTAGGGGTAATGGGTCTATGATAACCGTCACGAATATAGAGACATTAAGTGACCACTAAGCCCACTATGAGAATGCTGATGTAATTGCTGTAGTTACTGTAGTTGGTGTAGTAGCTGTAGTTGGTGTAGTAGCTGTAGTTGGTGTAGTTAGTGTAGTTGGTGTAGTAGCTGTAGTTACTGTAGTTGCTGTAGCTGGTGTAGTAGCAGTAGTTGGTGTGGTAGCTGTAGTAGGTGTACGTAGTGTAGTTGCTGTAGTTGGTGTAGTAGCTGTAGTACGTGTAGTTGGTGTAGTAGCTGTAGTTGGTGTAGTTGGTGTAGTTAGTATAGTTGGTGTAGTTGGTGTAGTTAGTGTAGTAGCTGTAGTTGGTGTAGTAGCTGTAGTTGGTGTAGTTGGTGTAGTTAGTGTAGTTGGTGTAGTTGGTGTAGTTGCTGTAGTTGATGTAGTTGCTGTAGTTGGTGCAGTAGCTGTAGTTGGTGTAGTTAGTGTATTTGCTGTAGTAGCTGTAGTTGGTTTAGTTAGTGTAGTTGGTGTAGTATATAAAGTATGTGTAGTTGGTGTAGTTTGTGTAGCTGGTGTACTTAGTGTAGTTGGTGTAGTATGTGTAGTTGGTGTAGAATATGTAGTTGGCGTAGTTACTGTAGTTGGTGTAGTATGTGTAGTTGGTGTAGTTTGCGTGGTTGGTGTAGTTAGTGTAGTTGATGTAGTTACTGTAGTTGGTGTAGTTAGTGTAGTTGCTGTAGTTAATGTAGTTAGTGTATTTGCTGTAGTTGATGTAGTTAGTGTAGTTGGTTTAGTATATGTAGTTAGTGTAGTATGTGTAGTTGGTGTAGTATATGTAGTTGGTGTAGTATGTGTAGTTGGTGTAGTTAGTGTAGTTGGTGTAGTTACTGTAGATGGTGTAGTATGTGTAGTTGGTTTAGTTTGTGTAGTTGATGTAGTATGTGTAGTTGTTGAAGTGAGTGTAGTATGTGTAGTTTGTGTAGTTGGTGTAGTATATGTAGTTGGTGTAGTATGTGTAGTTGGTGTAGTTAGTGTAGTTGGTGTAGTTACTGTAGTTGGTGTAGAATACGTAGTTGGTGTAGTATATGTAGTTGGTGTAGAATATGTAGTTGGTGTAGTATGTGTAGTTGGTGTAGTTTGTGTAGTTGTTACACAAAACTACGCCACCTACATCAAACTAAACCAACTACACAACACTACACCAAACAACACCTACTAAACCAAACTACACCAAACTACACCAAGTACACAAAACTACAGAGACTATAATCCGTAAAACAACCAAAAACTATCATCCGCGTGCTGACGATCCGCATGTTCTAAAACTTTGCAGACATATCAGTATTGAGGCTTTAAAAAGAGGACGAAAAGTCATAGACTACCTGTGTATAATTGTACATTGAAAATATGCCTTACGCCACCAATTGGTCTATAATTTTGGTTGTTTATCCTTAAAAATCGTAAAATTGGCTTTCCACGTGCTAGAGATGGATTTTTGCCTTCGTGTCTCTGCGACCGTGATTGCGTTACCTAAAAATCACCCAAGGGGTGTTTTCTTTTGATTGTTTGTTTATTTTATTTTTCTGAAATTAAAACGCAAAATTTTCGAGATGATGCCTTGCTAGTACAGGAAATTTATTCATTCATTCATGGTTTATCAAATAAGTGTTTTAGCCAGTATCCCTCACAGACTATTTCTCCTTGCTCCAACCTACCCCTCAACTACTCCTTACATTGTAACTTTTCACCTTGTTTCGGGTGATCTCCGGGAAGGCAGCGATAAAATTAAACTCAATGCAATGTAGGACGTACTCTTTTATTCGCCCTTTTCAAGAAAGCATTTTTGTGGCTATGGGCTGGCCAGAAAAGAGAAAAAACCCAGTATTTTTGTGTTATGTTTAACCGATAATTAACCACTTGACAATCAGAACCAATTATGATTTAGGTAACGCCATCAGGGTCGCAGCAACATGTCAGCCGGCAACGAAGGCAAACATCCATCTCCAGTGGAAAGCCAATTTGACGATTTTTAAGGATAAACAACTAAAATTAGAGACCAATCGGCGGGGTAGGCATATTTTCAGTGTACAATTATACACAGGCAATGGCTTACATGCTCTGTTTTCTGCAAATAATTAGAAGAAGCGGATCGTCAGCACGCGGATTATAGTTTTTGGTTGTTTTACGGATTATAGTCTTTGAACCGTCGTAATTCGACTTCATATATATTTCACGGATTGTTTTTTTAGGGGGTCTTAGTTTTCGTAATAACGAAAACTAAGAGAGGTCTTTGTTTTCGAAATTACGAAAACTAAGACCCCTAAATTTATCGTTAAATTCGATCTAAAACTCGGTGGAAAGAATCGGACAGAAGATAATTTGACTGATTAGACCTATTTCGATTACAATTTGACTTCATATTTCGACAGAATTGATTTTAGGGGGTCTTAGTTTTCGTAATTTCGAAAACTAAGACGGGTCTTAGGTCTTGGGTCTTAGTTTTCGAGGGTCTTAGTTTTCGTAACACCCAAAACTTCTCGTGTTTTGCAAACTTTTAGGACATTGCTGTGTGCTTGAAATATTACATTTGTGAACCATTTGATACTCATTGGTGAAATAGTGTATGCAGTAAAAAAGGACATTTTAGGTTTACCCCAATACAATGAATTTTTCGGTTATTTTACGGCCATATCGTTATATCAGGAGTCTCAATATAACAATTCCTCGATATAACTATATAATTTTATGGCTCCCTTGGCATGAAAATCTAAAGACGTTAATTCTGTTAGTTTAATACGGGCAAATAACAATATCATAGTTAAAACCCGGGAGTTAAAACAATTCTTTGTCGCGTCCAACTTTCAAATTAACGCCATGAGTGCCGCGGCGCTTATTCGAGTAAATGCGATATGCTAATTAATGTCCTGCCAATTTTCGAATATGTCCTTTCAAAATAAAGGTTTGAGAGGACACATGTCCTTTCAAGTACATAAAGTTATTTCCAGCACTGGATTTTGGATCTTCAAAAACAATTTATTTGTTTAGTTTTGCTTAAATGCCAGGCCCCGGTTGTTCAAACGTTGGATAGCGCTATCTGCCGGATAAATAACTGTCCAGCGGATAAGTATTACGGAAATTAATTACGCTATCCGCTGGATAGTGATTTATCCGGTGGATAGCGCTATCCAACGTTTGAACAACCTGGGCTAGCTCACTAACTCAATATGCATAATGCAATTTATGAGTAGTTTGAAGCCAATCAGATAACAGAATTTTATGCCAGTACGCAAGTCGGTTTCTTCTATTAATCTTGAATACATACTTTACCGTAAACCACCAAACCAGTTTTAAAGCAAATTCTCTTTTCAAATATATACAGTGGAAGCTCTCAAGAGCGTATAAACACCCTCGGGACGTGAAAAAGGTGCCCATAACTGGGGCTGGCTGCGAGTTTGATTGGGAGTTGAGAAAAGCAGGATTTTGTGAAGGCGGCCGTTGGTAAAGCTGTCCGCCTACGAGAGTGTCCGTTTACAGAGCTTCCACTGCATCTCAAACCTTTCCACAAGGATTGGTGTACAAACAACAGTCAATCTTGAAAGAGAATTTTTGGTAATGAATAAATGTTTAATACCTGGAGAATCATCAATCCCGCGATATCGTGGTTTAAAACTGGAACTTGTTTCGGAACCAAATCCTCTTGTACGCCCAAAGCCAAATCCTCCTGTACGGGACCTTTGATAGATAATAAAACTTTATAAGTACCCTGCAAAAGTGACCACTTTACTTCAGAGGTTATTAGGTCATGTCTATAATGGGCCGATCATTTGACGTTTGAGGGGGGTATGGGTGATTTTAGAAAAAAATATCCCGCAGATTGATTTCGAGGGAAAAAAATTCTTGCAAGGAAAGAAATACCCACCCTGAAAAAAATATTGCATGACCTGTGACGCTGAAAAAAAAAATCTCACACCATTGTATGCCAGGAAAAAAATTCTTACCCAAACCAAATAACCCATTTCCCTTGTCAAAAGTCAAGTGGTCGGCCCCTAACTCGAGAGTCATTGACCAATCAGATTGCAGAATTTGTGATAATTAAATATGCTAGTAAGTTTATTACCAAAATACAGACACTTCTGTAATGCGGCTCATTTCACTCTTAGTAAAACACAGTAGGGATGTAAACTTGACAATGTAGATAGTGCCCTGGGTGTGACACAGTGTGCCCCCCTTTAAAAAACCCTAGCTACGCCCCTAGCCTATGCTACCAGCAGCCTATGAGAATTGTACCATGATTCTTAAATAAGGTTGCTGTGTGGGGGGCAATTATGTGACCTAGGTATTCTATGTAAAGATTAATGTCTGAAGTTTACACATGCCTGCACTGGTTATTACAACACAAACTAGGCGTGAAAAAGCTCTTCTTACCCAAAATCATTAACTGTAATCACTGATTTTGTTGGCTTGAGGTTAAAATCAATCAACCTTTTCCTTCTTTCTTCATTTATACTAGCACCATCCAACTGAATTGTGTTGATGGTTTCAAGGTCGTATTGCTGTCTCAGCTTTTCCTTGAGCTCATCCACTGTTGCAAACCAATTTATGGTAACTTTTTTTGGTTCGTCATCTGGACCTAAAGAAACATTGATCTCAATCTCTCTGTCCTTGTCCACTTTAATTTTTGGTGACCCTTTTGACTTTATGAACAAATCATAAACTAAATCGATTTCCTCCACATTTTGCCCATTGAAACGAAGATACTGCTGCGACACTGGAATATTCAAGTTCCGTTCAATGAAATCTTTCACATCCTGAACTAAAAGGGTGAAAGGATTCACGGGCATTGTAATGGGTTCTTTGCCTGAAGCTTCAATCACCAGCTCTTCCTTTGTGTAAAGGACCTCAATTACCTCATTAGCATTTTCCAATGCACGGGAGCTGTTGGAACAAGGACACAATTTTCAGTCTCCAATCATCGTTCCACAAATTTAGCAAGCACACATACAAAAAAGCTGGTATCTCTAAAGCATCTTAGAATGTCTTCAGTGTCCATAGAGATATAGGCAAAAATCTTTTTTAGTGTCTTTTGCCAGGTGACTGGGAATTATGGTGCAGTAAGAACTTTTTCCTCAACCCACCTCCCCTTTGGCAATGTGTTTACTCCCCCTCTCTCTGTTTGATCCTCCCCTTTGAAAATCCTCACTAGGTAAATAACAAAAGTACACTCCAGAAGACAGGGTAAGCATTAAATCCCATCAGCCGTAGTCCCTTTCCCCCTTATGAAATTTACACAACGTAGAACTGTTTTCTGCTTTTACATCACACTTAGATGATATTTCAAGCTGGAAATGTTCATGAAAGAGCAAGTCTCTTCAATTTGAAAGTAAGAAATTTGATATGAAGAGCGGTAGGATTTTAACCCACGACCTAGAAAGCAGACAGTGCTTAACCCTAATACATAATGAGGAAAACTATGTTGTGTAAATATCATGAGGTGTCCGAAGGGGCTACGGTCGATGAGATCTAATTATAACCAAAGGACAGGATAAAAACACAAAAAATGCGCAAGAATAACATATCCACCTGATCAAGACAACACTTTGCACTGCTTCTATAAACACTATACCTACGTATAATAATAATATTATATACAAATCAGTTGGTTAAAGAAACTCTGTCTTACCCTGGACTCTCATATGGAAGAGATGCTTGCCAGAAAATTAGAGACCCCTTAATAAGGAGACCAATCTTTGCGAGTAATACTCAAAAAATATAACAGTATTTTAGAAGATATTTCTTTAAGCATAACCCTGAGTGACACCTTTGTTTATGGTTCAAAACAACAATTGACTTTCCATCTTGGACACCCTTACCTTACGGAGACCAAATTTGCAATTTCTACACCCGTCATTGTAACATATACTTTTATATTCTGACGGAGCCCGATGTTTATAAGACTTTGGGATTCTTTTTCGGTTTCCTCACCACATTCATTTTCTCCTCTGATAATCTTGTATTCTCGTCGTTTGTATTTTGTGGTAAAATAAATAAAATTGAAAAAAAATGTGAGACAAGGTGCACCCCGTTATTTTTATATGCGAGTCCCCCCTGGTTCTCTAACACAGGCCACTGGAGTGTGTTAGACTCACCTCATGGTTTTGTCTTCGTTAAGAATTTTTCCACCCATCACTAAACATGATACATCAGGGTTATACTCCTGTTTAATCCTTTCTCTTAATTCACCGATAGTCGCCGTCTCAAAATCAGGGATGCATATCTCCTTTTGTGTTCCCTCTTTCCAACGATGTTTGACAACAAGTTTAATCATCAACACTTCTGGCTTAAACTCCTGGACAAGCTGTCCATTCAGATCAAAAACCTCAAAATTGACCTTTGGTCTGTTGGCATCCCCCTTGTTGAGGTATGTCAGCCTGCCAGGTGCCCAAGATGAACCTTCTATAATCAGGGGGTTCGACGATAACTGGCTGTTATGCCCATCTGTAAGAGGTATGATTGTTTAGTATGTGTACCACCACCTTGTGACTCGTTAGCATTATTGTAATAATTATTTCACTATGTTTAGGAAATACACAATTAAGTCTAATAACGTTTTATTGAATCTGGCTAACAGCTTGGTCAGTCGGTCAGTTGGTCTTTCTAAAGGCCTGTCTAATATTCACTCCACTCCTGGCTGAGTTGCAAGTAACTGAAAATGAGTGGCGTCTCTTCCCCTCCACCTATTTCAACTGCTGCTCCTGCTGTATCTGCTGATGAACAACTTTGCTTACTTCACATTGGTCCTGTCATGCACACAAACAGATCTCTCCTTCATTTAAAGCTGAAAAATTATTTCAATTGCCTAGTAGCTCAGACGTGACATTATTTTGTCAAGACTCATATCAGCTTAAGTGCCCTCCATCAACATTTTAAAATAGTTTTAGGTGGCTTTCTGGATCAGTCCTAGCAACAGTGGGCTGTAATAGAATGACTACTACTGGTAGCCATCTTTGCTTTCATATTATCAATCGATTATCGACAGTATCAACATACGTTTTATTCAATACTTAATTTTTTTTTTCAACATGTTTCCCGCAAATAATATTTTTTATCTTTTACGCTTTTGTAGTTTATGAGCCAGCGGAATGAAACTTCATTTTCCTTGCACGTCCAGAACACAAAACATGAAAAATAATTTTTTTTAATTGGTTGCATAATTTTCTTCTTCTCTTGACTGTTTCTCTATCACAAAGAAGTTACACGAGTCTTTTCCAGCACTTTAAACTTTGAGGGACAATTTTCTTATCAATGAAATCAGCGACATGCAATTTTACTGCAAACTCAAATATGCAAATTTGGTAGGACGAAATTCGATACTCACACTGTCTTATCGTGCGACGAGATCTTATACTTCTTCAAGTGTTGCTTTCTTCTTGACGCAGTGCGAGAAAAGTACAGTTATGTTTTATTTATTTATTTATTTATTATTTTGCCACACGCAATGAATTACAAGCAGAATAAAAACGATAATAAATAGGTTAATTAACATTAAATTTAAAATTTGTACATTACTTGGGAGGAGTGACTGAGAAGGGTTGTTCACCAATGAATCACAGGACATTATCAAGCAATATCTACACTTCAATTTAAATGAAAATCATGATGATGATGAAACAATGCGAAGCTAATAAAATAAAATAAAACAAATAAAATAAAAAGCTGATGACATAAATGATGATGATCAAGATGCTCACAGCAGCATTGATGGTGACGCTGAAGACAGTGATGAAAAGGATAGCCAAAACTCTAATAACATTAACAACATTATTCATAATTGCAATAAGACTCTATAGCATTGTTATAAAAGAAAAGTGGATGTTTGTTAAATTCTTGCAATAGTACTTCACAGTTTATATCCGTAATGTTCTGTTGCTCTTTTTTTCTTTCTTTTTTTTTTACCAAATAAAGAACTTTCTTTTTCTTCTGTGGGTGAACCTCTACATGATCACGGGCTATATATTTGCATGACCCTCCCCCTTTTAACGGCCCATTTTTCATGACTCCTCCCTCTGTTTCCACCCCCCCTCCCCCCTGCTAATTTCTGACTAGTCCCTGAGCCAAAAAACAATGTTTTACTTACCCCACACCCCTCCTACTCCTCCGCAATTCATTATAAATAATTAATCTCGTCTGTACTTTCGTAATTATTGTATATCTTGTATCTTTGTGTCATTATAATAATATAGTTTGTCATTCATTAATGTAATTAATCTCTGTAATTTTGTAATTATTGTATATTTTTATGCCATCAGAATAATATAGTATGATGTGATAGACACGTCTCCATACTACCTGCCTTGATTAGCTCCGCTATTTTGCAGGTAGTCTGTATTTGTAATTTATTTATGGTGAATGTAAACAAATAGAGCCTCTCACCAGCGCTGCTGCTAAACATGGGCGGGGGACCTGAAGGCATTGCATCTCCACTTGGGAAGTGGGATCCAAGTGGCAAGCCTTGATAGGGAGCATCTGAGCCAAATGGAGGAGGGTTGAAGCCATAGGGTGTACCTGGTGTTGCACCAGCACTGCTGCTAAACATGGGCGGGGGACCTGAAGGCATTGCATCTCCACTTGGGAAGTGGGATCCAAGTGGCAAGCCTTGATAGGGAGCATCTGAGCCAAATGGAGGAGGGTTGAAGCCATAGAGTGCACCTGGTGTTGCACCAGCACTGCTGCTAAACATGGGCGGGGGACCTGAAGGCATTGCATCTCCACTTAGGAAGTAGGATCCAAATGGCAAGCCTTGATAAGGAACATCTGAGCCTAATAGGTGTGGGTTGAAGCCATAGAGTGGACCTAGGGTTGCACTAACACTGCTGCTCCTTCCTTTAGGGGAGGAACTACTTGTATAAGTATCTTCTCTTGGCTCCTTGGCACTTGATGGCATAGAGGAAAATGTACCATAACCTGCAGATACCAAATGTTTGCTTTTAATACATTCCCCAGAATCCATATTTGAGCAAATCATTCAATACATGCATGTGTATTAGACAAAAATTATCCCTTAGGGTGAAAAATAATACATAATTGTATAGGATTGAATTACAGGTTTACAATGACAAAATCAGAAAGGTATTAATATGTACGCTTGTTACTCCTCTTTTCAGGTTTCTAACTGAACAACTACAGTGGAACCTAGACTGCAAAACAGTCGGTTTCTTTCTCAAAATCAGTAAAGAAATCGGTAAAGCGTGGCGTAAGAGTCTTACGTGCGCGAAGCGCGCGAGCCTCACACGCCTGTAGGGCGTGTGAGGCGGGAGGAAAAAAACCGTCTAGCGTCTCTCCCCAGTCTCGCTCTCTGTTTTCAGCTTCGTTGCAGACCTTTTGTTTGACTGCTCGCGCGTACTTGAAAACGCAAAAATACGGACTGTTTTGCAGTCTAAGTGGAACCCTGCTCTACGGACACCCGTATATAACAGACAGTTTCATTTGTCCCAAATGAAAGTTCATATAACTCGCTTACTACAGACACCAGCTAATACCAAAAACAAACACTTTTTTGGGCTCTGAGTCACAAACTCTCATATTATTTCAAGCCCACTTCACGGACACTAGTTCTCTGCATACTCTATATAACTTGATATCTTACCACTGAAATTACCAAACAGAAAGTCCACCTGGCTGAGATGCAAATAACTGAAAATGAGCATCTCTACCCCTCCCCCTATTACTACCTCTGCTTCTGCTGATGAACAACTTTGCTTACTTCATGTTGGTCCTGTGATGCACACAAACAAATCTCTCCTTCATTTAAAGCTGTAAATTTCAATTGTCTAATAGCTGACATGATATTATTTTGTCAGGACTCACATCAGCTTAAGTGCCCTCCTTCAACATTTTAAAATAGTTGTAGGTGGCTTACTGGATCAGTCCTGACAAGAGTGGGCTGTCATGATCACAGAACGACTACATTACCACTAGAAGCTCTACAGGACACAGTGACTACGGAAGTACATGAGTTTAGTTTCGTAAAAAATCTGTCAACAGGAAGCCATTTCTCATGTGAAAAATTTTTTCACTTACCAAGATTTTTACAAGTGTTACTAAACTTCAAAGATTCCATTGAAAAGATTTGGAGGCCTAAAATGTTTTATCAGGTGACAAACTCCTGGTTCCTTGCTGGCTATCCTTCATCGGATCATATTATTTTGCAAACATGGCCAATTGAAGTTCCTCTAATTGACGTTTCTAGTTATTTGCATGACTCGGATGCAAACAAAGTTACAAAAATGAAAAATTGGTGATTACAAAATTTTCAAGTTTTGTGCAATTATGCCAAACTCTATTTTTTGTCATTGTACCAACAGGGTCTTTTAAGAGTGTTTTTTAAAACAAAGACTACTCAACCCTGCACCTGGACTCAAAGTATCAGGTAAGTCTCCTCCATGTGCCATGTCAACTTCACCAGTTTCACCACCTGTTGCCAACCCAGGAAGTGTTTGGTCTGGTGCAATCTTGGACCCCACTTGCAGTGATCCTTTAAAGTGTAACCGGGACATTGAAGGATTGCTCTTGTTTGGTTGATCTATGGATCAAACATATTTATTTATTAATTTATTAATTCATATTTTGCTGATTTTCTACATTTTACATTACTTGAATTATTTTGTTTAGCTCGAATGAAATGAGAAGCCCGAGGTGGAGCAGAACTAATATTATTATATGCTCTTTGAATTGGATAACAATAATCTTATAAAAGAGATATAGTAATATAAAAGTGAAAAAATGGGACGTTTCCTGCAAAAAGGGTTTATGTATTCCTCAATGGCGGAAATCTGTTTTTAATGGGCTGCCTGCGGCATACCCAGTCATACCCAGTACTTCCATTTTTTTAACAGTTAGAAATCACTAATCAACCCTTACATTTAGAAGCACTTAGGTCAGCTTGTGGTAAACTCTTGAACTTTCCTGCGGCCGCTGCTTTTTCAATGCCATCACAAACTGCATCGTAATCTGAAATTCACAAACAATGAATCATTTGAGTGCATGTTCCAATAATTAATACCCTCTCTCTTGCCCCCTGTAAATGACTAAATTGTTAGAGACCCCACCAAAATTCTTTCTAGGATTGGGGGAAGGAGTTACAAAACCAAACCATCCCAATAACAAAAATGAATCACTTATTGAGTTGGGGCAGCCCCGAGGATCTGAAGTACAGGCAAGTAGTGGAAAAACATTTTCCTTAAAAATATTTACTAGTCAACATCAAATGATTGTTTTCCTCTAGTCAGTTTGTCTGAGTCACACAAATTTGAGTACAGTTGGTAAGACCTCTCTCCCTGCACAAGTTAGCAAAAAATTGATAATGTCACAAATTAATGATAGGACTGAGAGTTGGTTCCACAGACATGGTTACATCTGCAGGTTGAGGGTTCAGGTGTGAACATCTTAACAACGACAAAAACACAACCTGTTAGATCTGATTTTGTGATGGAAATACCAATTTTCATTGATTTATTACCATTTGATCACAGTAGCCATATTGGTGGTCAAGAACAAAAGCATTTCTCTCTTCTGGGAACTAAACTCTATTTTCCTGTAAATTCTTTGAGAAAAAATTCTATTATATTGACCCCCAACATGGCCGCCTTGTCAGGTGGTTGCAAACCAAGAATACAATCAAATGACACCACTGAGAAAAGAAAATGACTGATTGAAAGTCATGAGGCGGGGGGTAAGAACGACAAGTTAAATGCACAGTACTGGAGGATCTCATGGATGGTATCATTGTGAACAACCAAAAACTTGGTGCTATATTACGCAGGGTATGCAATCGATGGAAATTGATGATTGGAAAACCAATCAATCTATCAATCAATAAAATTAGTTAATTGGTATCGATTGGCATGGGTCAATTGATGATCAATCAATAACGACACAAAAACTGTTCATTGGTTGCTATTGATTGGCACAGCAACCTCAAACAGACATCACTTTAAGAAGCCCTGGGGACAAAAGTGGTAAAACCATTCAGAACCAGTCTTCCCAATGCAAAGAATATATTCCGCTGCATGTTTACTTGAATTACCCACTTGCCCGTCATTGCCTTTCCATGTTATTACGTCTACACAAGAAGTCCTGGAAGAGGCTTTACTGAATATAACGTGCATCATCAAAGGCTATCATCTTTACAGTTTTGAGGTGAACATTGGCGAAGTGTTTACTGCTAACAAGAAGAGGGGAGAATGTGGAAATGCATTTAAAGTTGTTAACCATCGTGGACAGCTTGGCCAATACATGAAAATATTTCTGTGTAAGTGAAAGTTTTCTTTATCAACCCAGTAACAAACAATCCGGGCAAACAAATATGACATTATATAAAACACATACATTGTTACCTCCACCTACTGGTCTCATAATATGTATTATTGTATTAAATAGTTTTCCACTTTGGATAACGTTTTCATGGGATATGTGTGGACGGGAGGCAAGAATGGGAACAAACTTTTGAGCTGTCAAAGCAAAACAGGGATACCTGTTGACGGAGCCTTGAAGAGAAAGAAGAAAGTATTGTTCTCCTGTTGACGTTCAACGCATTAAAATGAAATGTGTTTACAATTACTGCATACAAAGATGTGATATTTATGCACCAATTCTGTCAATCTGCAACCAATATTGATACCAATCAATACCAACATAATTCTATCAATTGTTATCGAAAATCGATACCAATAAATAACCACACGAATCTTCGCCATCGATTAGGGATCGATTATTAATATCAATCGATTAATTGATATCGATTGGTATTGATTGACATCGATTTCTTCGATTGGATATCCCGGACATATTACCAACCTTTCTGTTCTAAGTTCTCGCCAGGAAGAGTGCCAACGGCCGCTTCTTTCTCTTCAATCTTCTCAACAAGATCTGGACGTCCAATCACCCTCAGTGTGTCTTTAAAAATTCCAAGTTTTGTTGAAGTGATAAGTTGCAATTTTTGAAGCGCCTCGACAAATTGTAAAGCGTCCATGTCGTCCAATTTAGCGGATGTCACATATTTTCTCAAGACAAATTTCATTTGCTGAAGGTCCCCTTCTCCCAATTCCTTCGCTATTTGAAGCAGGAAAATATTGAAATTCCACCGAAATTTGTCTTCCATTGCTGCTGATATAGAACGCTGTTTGTGAGATAGTTCGATCTGCACTTCCGCTTACAATTAGATTAGTTCTTTCCTCGATTTCATTTTCCCATTGAGGTTTTCACTTAAGGATTGCACATGACTTTCATAATAGCTTCTGTAGTCAGAGGGAATAGCTTCTACAGCAAGTTGCACGAAACGCTTTCAGTTTTCACTATTCAAAATAGAGTTGCATTTGGTAGTATCTTCGGAAATATGGCACTAGTTATTTTAATAGCATAGCATTATGGGAAAGAGAAAATGGGATGTTTCCCTTTCCCATCATGCTATGCACCCCGTACACTTTTATAGCAATGTCCGTATACAAGAGAGGTCCTTTTATCCGTTCTTGAAGTATATTAAAAAGCTGCCGTTCTACGCACGATGTTACTGGGCCTTTACGTGGTTTTTGGAAGCTACAAAAGGTATTGGCGGTAACAAACAAGTAAACAAATCAGGGCCCTGAATTGAAACAAATAATAAAGCAAACAAACATGTGCGGGAGGCTAGCGTCCGGTGAGAACGGTGAAAGCCTGGATAAAAGGATCACGTGACTAGTGACTTTGGCAGGAGTTTTTGCGTTCGAGGTACGAGAACGCAACCCCTAATTTCTGTTGGGTACTCTGTGCATTATTGGACCTTTGGAATATACTAGCCAAAACTGTTCAATATTAAGTAACGCAAGAATGCAGGAGCCCAGAAGAATGTTAAAATGAATTTAAAGTTTTATCAGGTTTATGTGCCTAAGTTGTTCCAGAGCTGTCAACCCCCCACACCTTCAAATATTGGGAATTGGAAGAAAAGGGATAATAGATGGCGTCATATTTCACGAAATATGACGTCATTTGTACAAAAAAGCGAAAAAGGTGTTGTTGGAATAACATTTTGTAACTGATTGGTTTACTTCCCACCAATCACATTACTGCTTATATTACAATGGCATACCGGGGTTTCTGAGGAAACGTTCGATGTTAAAAATTAAATGGCTCAAACAACGCAAACTATTTGAAATTTCATTGACAGAAAGTCGCATCTAAAAGAAATTGCAAACTTCGGCAATTATCCGGGAGATTTCAGACGCTAATCTAGAGACCGAGAGAAACGGTTGGAAATCGGGAGTCTCCCTGATTATCTGGGAGAGTTGACAGTACTGTTGTTCGGGGTCGGAGAAGACAGCGTAGCCAAGTGGCCAAGGACGTGTGAAAGTCCTCAGTTTTACTTGCCAGATTCCCTCTCACAACTCGCGGCTCTTCCTCATTGCGGGAACCAATAAACCTCACGAGTGACGTAAGACAAAGAAAGTCAAAACAATAGAGCCCAGGAAAACAATAGGTTTAAAACAATTAAAGAAAAACCTCAAAGGTTTTTTACACAAAGGCAAACCAGACTTCCACGTCAGTGCCGGATATGTTATGCTTTGTCTTGCTTTAGATTTTTTCCTTTGTTATTGGTTATAGTAATGCATGGTAATGAAGTTCAATTAAAGGAAAATTTAAACCAAGGATAAAATTGAAGAATGTCCCCACATCATGATCAAAAGTTGTGATCTCTCTCAGAAAAATGTACCCTAACGGCTTTTCGTTAAAAAGGGTGAAACGCACGGCTTCCGAAGGGGTTGCAAACGGCTCATTCACCCGTTCGAACAGGTTCATCAAACGGCTGAACGGGTTGTCAAGTTTTTCGAACAGCTAACCCGAACGGGCTAACGGCTTACTTACCCATTCGAACGGTTCATCAAAATTTCTAAACGGGTACCCCAAACGACTGAACGGCTTACAGTGACGATTATGTCTCGAAACATCCGCACTTCACAATAGGTTGTCCAGTTTCTCCTGGAATGAAACTTCTATTGCATTGTATCGACAACAAGAACGCTCTTAGTAGCGTTGAGTCTCATGCATTTTAGATAGATAGATAGATAGATAGATAGATAGATAGATAGATAGATAGATAGATAGATAGATAGATACATAGATACATAGATACATAGATACATAGATACATAGATACATAGATACATAGATACATAGATACATAGATACATAGATACATAGATAGATAGATAGATAGATAGATAGATAGATAGATAGATAGATAGATAGATAGATAGATAGATACATAGATAGATATAGATAGATAGAATAGTTTATACGATATAAAGATATTGATGCATACAATAGAAAAATAGATACTGAAATAAATACATAAAATTTTTTGACCACTGAAGTGATCAGTTGTTCCAAAATAATCAACGTTTTCAAGCCATAGAATTCTTGGACCAACCCGTTCCGGAAAAGCTCGATATGGGATTTCTATTAACTATGGACATGAAGTGCTGCAAGTAGAGTGTGCGGTTAGTCAAGTTCAAAGCTATCCGTATAAACACATCCGTGACACGTTAGGGTGGATTTCCACTGATGCGTTTTTGGCTCCGCACGTTAACGCAAGTAAATTTTAATCACGTAAATCAAATAGAGGTAAGACATAAAGTACTGAGATTAAACGTCAAATTAAGCGAGTTTCTACTTTTACGCTTACATAATTGTACGTGCGGCCTTTCATACATTGCCTTTATTTTATTTGGGAACGCAAATTTTAAGCACGTGCGCACGTAAAAATTACGTGACAGTGGATACTTCATGTCTCAAGTGTTTATGAAGCGCAGCACGACTTCACATCGTAAAAACTGCGAAAATGTATCAATTAAATACATAAAACAAAGTGAATCTATTTAACCGTACATTTCCTGTAATTGCGACAATATTTCTGAGAAACGTAACGCCTTAAAAAGCCACAAAATCCTGAGGATTTCCCCGCTATAATATTTTCTCATTCTGCTTGGGGATATTTCCTTTTTAAAGTGCCTGCATGTCGTGCATAATTACACGAAAATCAAGGGCCTCCATTCGAAGAAAATTACATCATTGCCAAACTTACTTGCGTCATTTCAGTCATCGCCGAAAATAAACTGCATTCTCATCACGAGACTCATTTCCATACAATGAAAGTCGTCACGATTCTTATCCCCAGTTTTCATGGTCTTCGCTAGGAACGCGGGGCCTACAAACTAGGTCCCACCGACGAAAAAAAAACGACTGCATTTTAAGAGTTTCGCTGGGGAAACCTCTCGACTCTGATGAAAGTTTTTAGACAAGGTGCATAGCGCTTTTGTAAACAAAGTTGTGCTACTACCAGTTACTACAGCTATTACACTTACTACAGATACTACAGTTACTACACTTACTACACTTACTACACTTACTGCACTAACTACACTTACTACACTTACTACACTAGCTACACTTACTACAACTACTACAGCTACTACACTTACTAGCGGAGCTCCATAGCTAAGGAAATGTAGTAATCTACCCATCCGAGAAAATTTGGTAATCACGTGATCGTACACCGAGCGAGCGAGCGACCGCCCGCCCGCACCACAGGTATACCAACGTAAAATAACTCAATCAACAGGTATGGCAACCCAAATGCAACTCAAGGTTTTATCTGGAAGGGAATCACATGACAGCCCGGACTTTTACAAAGGAAAAACAACAACAAAGTCGTGTCTTTTTCGGCAATATGTTTTATGTTTACACTAACGTGGATAACTAGAGCGAGATATTGAAAGCAAAGGAGACGAATTTCGTAGGAAGAAAAATTCTAACGGCGGTGAGAAAATGAGAAATGCTAGCGGCCAGCAAGGTGAAAATGAGCGGCAGTGAGAAATAAAAGCGAACATACATGAACACAGGAAACAAAATATTGGGTAAGCACATAAGACAATTCCTCCATAAAAAGAATATGTAACTAGGTCGTTTGACGTTTTAGAGCCTGTTTACATGCAGGTGGGGAACCCCAGGTAGGTGAGGTAACCTGCTTAGATGAGGTAAAAAAATAACCCTCCTTTACATGAAATCTTACAACCCCGCTATCCCGGGGTGCACTTTCTCAAGATTATTGAATGGTCGCTAAGCACGTAAACAAGAAAATGCTGGCAAACCACGTGTTTTGGCGATTAATGCACTTCTACACTCCCTTGTTGCTCTTGTTGCAACCTTCAGTGCAATGGCTTTCTATTGTTAACTTTAATAATGATGCAAAGCCACCGCCAAAGTGAATTTTGCGCGAATTTGATGTATCACGAATCCCACCCCGGCCAGGCGGGTTACCCCACCTTGAAACGTTTACATGGCAAAATTTGACCCCGGCTGAGAGGGTAACCCGGTATGGTAGACCGGGCTACCCGCCTTGGTGGGTCACCCCACCTATCATGTAAACGTGATCAAAGAATGAGAGATTATATGGACAGGCGGGTTACCCCACCTAAGCGAGTTACCTCACCTACCTGGGGTCCCCCACCTCCATGTAAACAGGCCCTTAGTCGTACAAAACAGCGTTGTAGTCGTGCAAAACAACGGCAAGAGAAAGACAAAAAAGCGTGCTGCACGTGCAAATTAAATTTGGTTTTGGCTATTTAGAAGAAAAAGTGTGCTGCATGTGCAAATTAAATTTGTTTTTGGCTATTTAGAAGAAAAAGTGTGCTGCACGTGCAATTTGTTTCTTGCTAATTAGATCTATTAGTCTTGAAGCCAATTTCATTGTCGTCCCCGTTTAGCTTTACACGATTTAATTTTTTTTGGTTTATACGTATTATTAACCAGAGCTTCGCTTTTAGCCCTGGCTAAATCTATATATTACAGATTCTACAGTTACTACAGCTACCACAGCTACTACACTTACCACAGATTCTACAGTTAATACATGCAGCTACTACACTTACTACAGATACTATGGTTACTACAGCTACTACACTTGAATGAATGAATGAATGAATGAATGATTTATTTAATGTCGAAGACGTGGGAAGTGTTTACACGATCTTCCGAGCCAGAGGCTCATGTTAAAAACGCTCGACAAACTAAAAAATACAAAACAGGATAAAAAGTGAATTATGTATATACAAATATTAAGAAAAAAACATCGTAATTTTGGGAAAATTTTTTAAGCAACTATTTTCTGAAAAAAAAAAAAAACACTAAAAAAACCTAAGAACATGCATTAAAAATAGTTTAAAACGGACTACACTTACTACACTTACCAAAGTTACTACAGCTACTACACTTAATACAGATACTACGGCTTCTACACTTACTACAGCTACGTACACTTATATACTTTTCGATTGTGTTGTCATTCAGTAGTGTTCATAACATGGA